TATTTGGATAAAGTTTGACCAGAGTCATGACTTTGGTTTTCATGGGAAAAACAAAAATAAAAATTTCTGCTCAAGTTATCTGATATCAGATAATGATGGGAAGAGAGGGAGAGAGGTGCAGGAGGGGGAAGCAGATATATCTCACATTTGATATCACTCAACTGATCTTCTTCCAAGTTTTATGGGACAAACTAATATACATCACTTGATGCCAATATCCGGCGTCTCTAGTTAAAAAAAAAATTATTTAAGTATGGTCTCAAATTCAATTGAATTTATATGAATGTAGACCATAATACTCCCTCTGTTCCAAATAACAGGGCACTTTTAAAAGAGTTTATCCATCTCAAAATATAAGACACTTTAATTAAATTAAGATTTTATTAAATGTGTCAATTTTTATATTATCTTTTCTCTCCCTGTAATTAATTTCCATCCCTCCTCTTAAATGATAGGTATTTTCAAAAGTTTATATATTTTTTGAAAGTTTAAGTTGTTATGTGTATTTAATGAGATTTATTGGTATGTAAAATTTTATCTAAAAATATCTTATAATTTGGGATGGAGGGAGTATTTGAATTTGACCTAATAACATAAATAAATATTAAATACCCATAAATAACGGCTAGTCTAAAACTAAACTTAATTAATGTGATTTTTTTTTTTGAAATTCTGTTTGTAATTAATCACTTATCATCAAATCCACAAGGGGCTTGTCCGTACATCTGACTGCATCACGCAAATTTTTTTTTTGGGTAAATAAAAATAAAACAATCAAAGAAGTCGTGAGAGGAAAACATTAGATACAATAGATTATTGATGCATGGGGCAGTGAAAAGGAGTTTAATTTTATATAATTTATGAAGTTAAAAGACGTTAGAACTCATAAAGGTGGGTTCCGCCGCCGCAACATTTGAAAACACGGGTTGAAAATGATGCTGCATGCAAAGCGTCGCAGGTATGACATTTAAAGGTTGTGAGTTGTGATGACTATGAATTATTTGGACTCAACAATGTCTATTTAATTTGGACGGATTATTATGTCAAATATCATTAGGGCTAGACCATTGAAGGCTTAGGAGCCACCACACTGGTCAGTTTCAAGTAGGCTACTGCATGCAACCTTATCTTGTTCCTCCTGCCTCCTTTTGGGAAAAGAATGATGGAAACTAAACTCTCTATATTCGTTTCATTCATTCTCCAGCTTCTTCCTCACATCTAATCACCTAAAGGGGTGGTTCATCTTTATTTAATACTGGTGTAAAATAGATGCATCTATATGCACTAGCTATGTCCATATATAGGTATATCAATTCACATTCACACGCAGCAAATTACAACACATAATCATATTTACATTTTTAAATGGAATTAATGTGCTATAGTTCCAGTTTCTTTGCAACTTCTGGGTTCAATTAAACTGTTCTATATTCAGACAATCCAACAAAAAGGGCATGTTTGTTTTCAGATTCTTTCTTATAGTATCCGAGCCTTTTATTTTATTCGATGACAAAATCTACTCCCTTCATTCAATTTTTAATATTATAAAATATTTTTAATTGACCCAATGATGAGTTAGTTAATTTTTTTAAAATCACACACTCTTTTTTTTATTTACTCTTATTTAATGAGGTTTTTTAATTAAAAAATATTTAATTACATCTCTTAGTTAAAGATACTTTTTGAAAATTTTGTTTAAAAAAATATCTTGTATTTTTAAATGAAAGGAGCATTTATTTTACAATCAAATAATTAAAAATGATCAAATTGGAACTATCTATTTTGAAATTTAATTTTTGACCAGTTTTATAAATATCAGTTTTATCAGTTAATTACTTCAGTTGAACAATGTAGTAGCTAAGAAACCAATATCCTTTGGTGAAATTATATATATATATATATATATATATAATTACTGTCTAATTTTACACCTGTACTCCTTCTGGTCTTATTTATAGGGCAAAGGGAGTATAAATCATGTCATTAAATTTTTATCATATACTTCCTCTTTTACCCTCCATTGAATATTGAAAAGAGAAAATATATTATTGAAATATGTATATTTAATCGGAACAAAGTTAAAAATTTATTAAATTTTAAGATAGAGTCAATGAGTTTTAAAACTTTTTTTGATACTGGTGAAACATATTAAAAGTAAATTATAAATAAAACCAGAGTAATATATGTTCCCATGGGCACTTAATCCAATTTTTTTTGGAGTGAGTCCAGCTAGTTGAGCTTGCTCATTATAATGTCTTTTTAATGTGACGATAACTATATATTAATTTATTTTAATTTAATATAAGTAACTGGTATTCAATAATTTATTTTAATAATGTAATGGGCATGTTTGAATACTTGAATCCAATTTTAATCACCAAAAATGTTGACAGAACCAAAGTCAATGTTAATATTCACTTTTTTTTTTTTTCCTCCTTTCCTCCAAGTGAATGGCAATCAATTCAATATGCGGGTAACATTCGCCAAAGCTATTAATTTCATCTTATTGGCGCGTTGACAATGCCAAACCATAAATGTTGCCGGTCACTTTTAAAGATATAATTTCATACCATAAAATTTAGATTTGGCAATTTTTGCACTGTACAACTCTTTGCAAAACAGAAAGGGAAAATAACAATCAATCTTCTTCTGTATGAAATTTATATCCATCAAAAATTAATTATTATTATTAAAAATTAAATAAATACTTATCAATTTAAATTAACCTTTTATCAATTAATTTTTTATTTTAAATTAATAATAATTTATTCAGATTTGTTTTTTATTTAGATTTTAATAATATTAATTTTTAATTGCTATAAATTTTATTGTTGATTGTTATTTTCCCAAACAAAAAAGACATGCCCCACATTCTCCGAAAAGAAAGTTCTCTTATTTTTCTTAAATAAATTTAAAGAAAGCAAGTCATTTCTTTATGGGCAATAAAGTGGCCCAGAAACAAAATCCGTTCAGTAAAATGTTCTTGTATTGTACAAGCGGATTCCATTTGAGGGACAATCCTTGGGCATCAGTCTTAGACGTAGAAATAAAATCTACAAGGGACCATGGTTTTTGAAGAACAAAATTTTTCCAGCAAAAATATCAAAATCTTCTTTATTTTTCTGCACTTGTCTCCATAACTCAAATAATTGAAGTTTGAACATTCATGAATAATTTCAACAGATCAATAAAAAAAGGAAAAATATATCTTTTTATTTTTTTTAAACAAATTTATTGTTGCTCGAGATCATGGCTCCCTGCAAGTTTTTTCTGCATTTGTGACTTATTATATCCAAATATTTGGACCTTTTGATTCTTGTCGCCAATGTTTTTTTTCCCAAAAAAAAAAAAAAAGACCAATGCTTTGGCATTGACCAGCGACAACCTTCTATCATTTGATTTGAAAGGGATAGAATTAGATTGAACCAGCCAAATACGTATCAATTATATATATATATATATATATATATCAACTGGGAGGGATTCGGGAGAAAGAGAAGAAAAGAAAAAGCAAAAAAAGGATATCCTATCCATAAGAATAAGAAGGGCAGGGAACGTGACAGCAAATAAAAGAGAATCTATAAAGCGAGTGAGTAAAAATACACAAGTTTTGGGGCCAAAAAACTAAATAATAATAATAATGATGATAATAATAATGATGATAATAGCTCTTCTGTTCCCAGCTGTTGCAGTGCAGGATGCTTGAATTCGTAAAGAAATTTTGGGAAAGAAGCAGAATAGTTTTAGGGGCATGCAGGTGACACAGGATTCAAAACCAGATAAATAAAACACGATAACCCAAAGTCGCAAAATTACAAAAAAGAGATCCAATCACTTGAAACTTTGAATGATCAAAATGATCTGTCCATGGGACCCACGTGGGCCCATATACTGCCAGAGTTTATCTGACTTTGGTGAACCTAACTTTGGAAGCGAACCATGTTTATACTGATGCCTATTGCAAGTTCTTCAGACCATCCCCGTTTTTCATCTCACGACCCCCCACCCTCTTCTTTTCTTGCCCATGCAGATGCTGATACCCTTTTAAACGTTTTCGGTGTACAATACAAGCACTCTTTTCCACTTTTTGCTTGATCACTCAATAATTGTGGCTAAGCATCCTAAGCTCGTTTCATTTTGTAAACTCATGGTCTGCCATTTTGATAGTGACGATTAGTTCCCAATACCCCTTCCAATTTTAATTATAGGATGCTTGCTGAAATTATAGACAATTGATGAGATATTGATTATATTTTTTAATGTTATTTTTATTTAAAATTATTAATTATGAGAAAGAATGTAATGTGAATTTAAAATTTTTTATTTAAATAAAGATAACATTAAAAATTAATTTTATTTTTACATAAAGCCAATAACTTATTAATTAGCTCTTCTTAATTTTGATGAAATAGTTAAAGGTGTGTTATAACCGAGATGGAATCCATTGCTTTAATTCTCAATTAATTAGTTAATTGCCAATTGGTTCAAACATGGAAACTTTTGTACGCGCTTTCTATGGCAAAAGAAATCAATGCTTGGGGAAAAACTTGTGGTCATTGATGCCGTAATGCAATAAATGCTCGGCAATTAAGGCAACTTTTTTTTTTTGGCCAACGGCAATTAAGGCAATTGAAAGCTTGCATTTTTGGCTCCATATCCAAATGGACATCCAAAATTTTTTATTACACCTGACTTAATCCTACAAAAAATTATAATTTGGAAAAATAAATATTTTTACTTGAAGCCAAAAAAATGATTTTTTTTAAACCCCCCCCCCCCTTTCTTCCTAGTCGAAGGCTGCTTCCGTGAATAATAGTCCGACGATAAAGCAATGAAAACGATAGCGAGAAAAATGTCTTTTCTTTCCGAAGTCACGAAAAGAGAAAAATGTCACGTGACGTGGTGTACACGTGCATAATATATATGATTTCTTTTTTCAAGAGAGACTCTCTCTGCGAAGCACGACTTACGAAGTGAAGAGACAGTGAATGGAAGGAACAGATACAAACGCCAGAAGCTTAATAGACAAAGCGAACCCATAAAAGGAAGAGCAAGCCCCCTTCTTTCGCTCTGTTTAAAGATGTTCCTATGCTCTGTTCACGAACATCGTCAGACATGCTACATGCTAAAGAAAGCATCTTCGTCTTCTTCCCCTGCACAGCATCCTTAGGCCTCATTGATTAAGGTTTCTTCCACTTGCTTGAAAACACTGGAACTCTTATGTTGTTCCCTTTGCCTGCCATTCTCTCACCCATTAGACTACAATTATGACAATGAGCGACGCCGAGTCCTTCGCAGCATTCCCGTTTGATAGAGCTGTCGAACAGGTCCCGTAATTTCGAAGCAATTCTGCTCATTTAGCTCGCTTTACAAAAAATTTCGAAATGATGATCCTGCTTCTGCCGACAAGTTCTCTCGCTCTCTCGCTCTTGTTTCTCTGCTTCATCCAAATTGTGAATTGCTGTGGTTTTTTTTATCTTTTTCGGTTTTCATTGGCGTATTGTTCAAGGCTGAAGCGTATTCATCCTTCCGCTCGGTGTTGTTTGGCGATATGCGTATATTATATTTTTCTCTGCAATATGCCCAACCTATAATGTGGGTGCCGATTTTGAAAGTTGATTACTGGGTTTCATTTTGAAATTCAGAATTTTTTCTTCGACGCTCTTCATATCTTCTTTATGAAGCATTCGATCGCTTTCTCGCAATGAAACGAGCTGAATTTCTGAAATTTGTTGTTGGTTTACTATTATCAGTTCTTTCACCAGTTTGTTGCTTTTCCGACAAGGAGTTCTTCATGCTCATTAATCTGGTGTCAGTGTGTGGAATTGTTGCATTCTCGTTGTAAATCATTTTTCGATGTTTTTTTTTTTTAATTTTATTTCCTTCCTATCCTCGAAACTAGACATACATTAGGAGTTAGTGGCCGGTTTTGTTGCAGCAACGCCAAATATTTTAACTATATATATATGAATATCTTGGAGGCAACTATTTGCTGCCTAAAGTCTATCAGTGCCCTGTCTGGTTTACACTGTTATCGATGGTTATACGAATCCAACCATCCGCATGTTACTGGTACATCGAATTTTCCCATGTTTTGTGATAATGATAAGAGACTTTATTTGTTTATTCATTGCTTCCCCGTATGAGTTTGAATGCTAGATATGAAGGAATTCATCATCTTGAAATTTATGTAATTTTCTTCTGAAATCTGTTTTCTTTTACCAAAAGAATCTTCATACATGTGTTAGTGTGCTCAAGATGTTTTTTTTTCCCACTATGTGCTGTTCATATGCCCTTGCGCACTTAGATACATGTTGGTATTTGTGCTTATAATGGTCTGATCAATCATCATGAAAGTTAATCTGCTATCAACTTTTATGTTACGGAATTTTCAGCGTGTCTGATGTCTGGAATCTTATATTTGATAGTTTTTTATCTGAGTCTTTTCTTGCCATTGACAGAACTGGCCCCCCTTTTAGAGAACTGAAAACTCGATTTTTTTTTTTTAAAACTCTGTTCAGGCAATTGTATCTATAAAGAAAGGTGCATACTTACTGAAGTGTGGACACAGGGGAAAGCCCAAGCTCTGCCCTTTCAGACTTTCTCCAGTAAGCATACATGAGATGGGATGTATTTAAGAATAACTCTGATTACTCACTATTCATACAAATAATTTGTCTACGGACTTCTATTGTTATCTATACATTGATCTCAATAATAAACTGTCCAAAATAAGATACTAAGATAACTCTCTGAATATTCTGTTTTCACTCAGTTTTTAATTTGGCGCGATGCTGCATGTGGAATTAGTCATCTATGAAAAGTATAACTGATATGTAATTGTTGATTTACTTTTGCGGTTGCTTCCTTCCTTTATTTTCTTTGGAAAAATTACAAATATATCAACTAGATTTGGGAACTAGGCTTTTATTTGTGGACGCCTTCCAAGTTCCATCATGACAACTAGTCATGTAATCAACCGCAGTTAAGGGGCTTGCTCTTTTTCAAATTATGAATTGCATTAATGAAGAACAATGCTCTGCTTAAGATTATTTGAGTGAAAACATGAATTAAATTTTGGCTTTACAAAGTAACCTTTTCGAAAATGGAACTCATCAATTTAATGGTGAAATATAGGTTAAACGATAATGTGCAGGTTGTCTTATTGTGTATTGTGAACATTTAAGCTCCATGCTTTTGGCATGAGAAATGTGGAGCTACAATTAATGATATATAAACATTAGTTTCACAGATTTCTACTGCCGAATTCTCATGATCAGCTATGCAGTAACTCATATTCAAACCCTTTGCACTTGTACAGAACTTTTCCAGAAGTATTTCCATATGATCAAAGTTATTAACTTGGTAGTATGTAAACAGTTGGATACCAGCTCTGTTCACCCCCTCTCTTCAACATTTGGTGTGGTAGCAACAATTTGAGGGGGAAAACTAAGTTCTGAACTGTCATGAACACCATTTTATGAAAATAATATGTGTAATTCACTTTGTCCCTGAAAAGTGGTTGTAGAAAATGAAATAGGTCTCACTCTATCAAGTTCTGTCTATCTGTCTGATTTTTTCTGTGCATTATAGTAAAATCACTGATAACTGGTCCCTTCCCCCCTGATTTCAGGATGAGAAAACTTTGATTTGGTGTTCTGGGCAGAAAGAAAAGCATTTGCAACTGAGTGAAGTTACAAGAGTTGTTCAAGAGCTGGGAAATGTATGTAACAAACATTCATGACTTCTCACATTGTTGCACTATCAACACGAGACTGAAGATTAGAAGAGAAATGAAAAGAAAAGGCAAAATGTTGTTTTGGCCTAATGATTGATTACCCCTTTTCAGATAAGGCCCCAGAGACAAAGCCAACCTGAAAAAGATTGCCATTCATTTTCACTAATCTATGCAAATGGCCAGCGCTCACTTGATTTGGTAAGATTTGTTTGTTCTTTATGTATGCATGTTTAGCTACTTTTCCCCCAAGGCTCTTCTTCCCAATATTTATTGCTTCAAATTTCTATGCATTTATTTTTAACCCAGATATACAAGGACAAAGCGCAGACTACTTCTTGGTTAGTGGGATTGAGAGCTGTGATATCTAGGTCCCAGCATCCAAGATCGTTAAGTAATTTAAGGAACCGCAAAGGAGTGCAGAGTTGTGTAAATAGTCCAGCTGGGATCTTTCGGAGAAAGAAAAATCTTGGTCTTGTAGAGGATACTGTTGAATTTACTCAGGTTTCATATACTTCCTGCTTCATTTGCTTTTTTCTTTTGTTTTCTAATTCTACCCCCGCCCCCCAAGAAAGCATTTGGCTTCAGAGTAATGATGTTGTCATTGTATTCTCTCATGTTTCAGTTGTGATCTTAAATATAAAATAGAACTGATCATTTCTTGATTGTAGGGAAAAATCCCCATCCATTAATCTTCAAATGATTGAAAATATCGGTTTCTATGGTTTTGGCATATGACAAACTTATTTCTCAAGCTAAACACGACAGTGCTGTAGGTTAAGTACTTTTGGGTTTCATTTGATGCTTTCAGTTAAATGTGATTGAACATAAACAGGAAAATCAAAATAGTTTAGCCTTTAAATTGTCAGAGTAATATCATTTAATACTATTTCAATGCATTCAAATAATTGAATCACTAATATGTTTCAGTGAATCTAGATTATATGTCTGCTACAACCTTTCCTTATTAATTAAATTTCTTAGATTTTACTTTTTGGAAAAAAATAAATCAACAATGACATTTACTTCTCAGAAATTAATTGTGTGGCTTTGAAGTTTCTTTTTACCACCTTGATTATGACTGCAAATTCTTGCTATTTGCAGGTAGAAAGCTTACATGCAAGTCCTAATTTCTCACTTTCAGAAAGGTGCTTTTCTGAGGGCTTTTCAGATGCTTCTGATGGCATTTATTCTTTGGAGTCTTTTCCGTACAATACTCGGAGCACAATGGATATTAAAGTCCCAAGTTCTCCACATGTTGATCCAGATTTTCTCAATAAAAATGGTTCAATATATGCTGACACAGAGTATGAGAAGAATTCATCCTATAGGCGTCTGCCTCCTCCTACCTCTCCACATGTAAGAAACAACAATATATTGAAGGATATCATGGTATGGGGTGAAGGGATTGTAGGAGGTGGGGGCAACATGTTTGTAAATCAACATAATGTTCATAGTACACTGCCAAAGTTACTGGAATCCACCATGACGTTAGATGTAAAAAATATAGCTTTAGGAGGAAAGCATGCTGTCTTAGTCACAAAACAAGGGGAAGTTTTCTGCTGGGGTCAAGGTAAAGGGGGTAGGCTGGGGCACAAGATTGACATTGATGTTAGCTCTCCCAAAATTGTTGATTCTCTTAATGGGATCCGTGTGAAATCTGTTGCCTGTGGTGAGTATCATACATGTGCTCTGACAGACGCTGGTGTAGTATATACATGGGGAAATGATGGTGGTTGTACAGATTCTGTAAGTTATGGGAAAAATAGAAGTCAGTGGATACCACATAAACTTTCAGGACCTTTAGATGGTATTCGTATTTTTAGTATTGCTTGTGGGGATTGGCATACTGCAATTGTCTCTTGCTGTGGAAGATTATTTACATATGGAGATGGTACTTTCGGAGTTCTAGGGCACGGGAATCTTCAAAGCATTTCTCAACCAAAAGAAGTCGAGTCTCTTAAAGGTAAGCAAGTGAGGTCTGTTGCTTGTGGATCATGGCACACAGCAGCTATCATAGAAATCATGGCTGCCCGTTCTAGGTACAGTACTTCCTGTAAGCTTTTTACCTGGGGTGATGGAGATGGTGGACGGCTTGGTCATGTTGATAATGGAAGGAAGCTTTTACCAACATGTGTTACACAACTTGTGGATTATGATTTTGTTCAAGTATCTTGTGGAAGAATGTTGACTGTTGCACTTACTAATTTGGGTAAAGTTTTTACCATGGGAAATAAGGTGCACGGACAGCTTGGAAACTCTCATGCCAAGGATAAGACTGTTATTCTTGTTGAAGGAGACTTGAAACAGGAGTTTGTTAAGCAGATATCATCTGGTTCATATCATGTGGCTGTGTTGACATCTGCAGGTAGTGTCTATACATGGGGCAACGGTACACATGGGCAGCTTGGGTTGGGTGATACTAAAGACAGATATTCACCTTCTCTCGTTGAGGCTCTAAAAGATAGACAGATAGAGAGTATTGCATGTGGGTCATGCTTCACCGCTGCAATTTGTTTACACAAACCTGTTTCTGTTGCAGACCAGTCAGCTTGTAGCAGTTGTAAGCTTCCATTTGGGTTCAGGAGAAAGAGGCATAACTGCTACAACTGTGGTCTTCTCTTCTGCAATTCATGTAGCACTAACAAAGTTACAAATGCATCTCTAGCCCCAAGCAGGAACAAGGCTTTTCGGGTTTGTGATCAGTGCTTTCATAAATGCCATGGACTCACTCACTCACCTAAGGTATCAAAGTTGCAAAACTATAGCACTATGCAGCAACTGAAGTACCGGAATAAATTTCCTGATCTGACAGAAGATGGAGGAGAAACAGCAGTATCACCAGGTCCTCTGTCATCTTTCAGTCAATCAAGTTACATGAAAAGCATGCCTAGCGGAAGGAAGGACTGGAAAAATCAGGAAGAAGGCCAGAAACATTCAGAAAACTTCTCTCCAGTGTTGGGTGGGGTGACACAATGGGGGGAAGTTTCCTGCCCTGATTCGTTCAAAACAAGTTGCACAGAAAATTCTTTCATGCATGTTTCTTTGTTGAAAAATGACGTAGCTTCTGCTAATCCGTTGAAACCAGAATCTACAGTATCCAGGATCCCTAACACACAGAAAAATATGCCAAAGTCTGAGAAATTGCTTGTAGAAGAAGTTCGGAGGCTGAGAGCTGTGGTAGCAACCCTACATTTTTCGCTTGAGTTTCATTGGTCTTCATAAATTTCTTCCCTGATTTAGCTTAAGACAAATCTGTTACATGTTATGCATGTTAAAATTTTTAAAATTTCTTTTTCTTGTAACCTGGGTTTCTCAATGTTTTTGATGAATTTGGTTTTACAATTTGTGACACTCAAAACATGATACTGAAAAGCTGATTTAAACTAGAAATGTCCTTGTATTGTTTATCTTCATCCATCTGTATATGCACATCATTAAACAATGATCATATGTGAACATAATTTGAAAATTTCCCTTTCAAATATCACTTGAACAGCAGGATTTCCTAATGTTTCTCGTTGAAACTATTAAACCATATTTTTTTACGCCTTTCTGACCCTCTTTCGTATGTTTACTTCTTTGTTCTGCACTTTGGTTTTCATAAAGTTCTCTTCATAAGGAACTGCTGAGTTTGCATTTGAATTACCATAAAAATTAGAGGTGGTTATCTGATTTTGGCAGTTTCCTTTGGGGTACTCTGTGGAAACGTGTTGCTCATTTTTTAACTCAAGTTTCCCAAGTTGTAGTCCTTATTGTTCTGTTTTTCTCCAACTTATCTACTTCCTACATCTTTCAGTTGCAAATTAAACTTTTCTCTGTTCATTTGTTAGCTGAGATCACATGTTCTTTTGTCTGTATGTAATCCCTTCCACTTGCCTCTATATGAAATGTTGTGATAGGCTGGGAAACTTGAAGAGCAATGTGAGCTCCAAAACTGTATGTTACAAGAATGTCAACAAAAGATTGAGAAGAGTATGTCTCTGGCGAAGGAGGAAGCTACTAAATGTAGGGCTGCAAAAGAGGTCATAAAAGTTTTGACGTCAAAAGTAAGTCTGTTTTTCTCTTGATTCAGTTTCATGCTGGAATGCTAAAGATTAGATAAGTCTATTTCGCTGATTTATGTCTTTATTTTAGAGAAATTCTTGTGGTATTCTGCATAATTCCTTTGCCTTATCATTAAATTTCTTTTATGGTATCACGAGGAAATTCATGACAGTTGAAATTGATGTTGCCTCTCAAGTCTTAACTGTATCATGTGAAGTTCTAGCTTTATTTTGTTCATCTGAAGTTCTGTTTGAAGTGTGTACATGTTCTTTTAAGAGTCCGTTCAACAACAACCCCAGTTATTATCACTCATACTGTAATAATAGAGGTAATACCTGGATATGAAATTTTCTGCAGATTAGTCAGTAATGAGTCTTTAGATATCCTTTATGAAATGCTTACGAGTATAACTATTTGCAGCTTCAAACAATATCAGAAAAAGCCGATGCTATACAAGAAGGAAAGGTTGGGGTAAACGAACATGAGCCATATCTTGCATCCGTGCACAATGATGTCAATACTCCAAAAGACTGCAACTTAGACATTCAATCTGATTCTCCTATAGTATTCTCTGACAAATTAAGATCCAAATTTGGGAGAAGCAGATTCCTCCAAAGTGGTAAATCGAGGGAGTATTCACACGTCACAGGAGTGCAATCTCAACAAGATGCTACCAAAGGATCAAATGATGAATGGATAGAACAGCACGAGCCGGGTGTTTATGTCACTCTTACTACCTTACCATGCGGACAAATTGGCCTCAAAAGAGTGAGATTCAGGTAATTTCAACAGTGAGTTTTCTCATTGACTGGCATGTTACTGCAATCTTTAGCAAGAGGATTTTCACGCGCTCACACGCTTGTAATTTAAGTTGAAGACATCATGATGGGCAATACATTAGACATTTACATTGTGTTTGGGCAAAAGAACTTTAACCTTAGTGAGTTTTGTGAGGTCGTACTTCTTGTTAGATTTGTCAAGTTCTGTTTTTTTCTCTTCGGTGGAAGTTTCATATCTAGTGCATTATAATTACATTATTCCATCTACACTTCATTAAATTGGTTGTAGTAGTTAAGAATTATTAAATATAAGGTAAAATGCATGTAGTACCTGACAGATTAGATTTGTGATAGATCAGTACCTGTTATACATGTTGAAGTGATAGATTAGGTTTGCAAGTGTAATACAAAATGCATCATATTTGGATAGTAACATGATATATGCGCATTGCAGCCGGAAACGATTCTCTGAAAAAGAAGCAGAGCAATGGTGGGAAGAGAATCAAGCAAGAGTGTGCCGTGATTATGGCCTCGAAGGATACACAAACAGTAGCCAAACTCAAGATTGACAAGCCCTAGTTTTATACTTATCTTTCATCTCTCCCAGCACTTTTCTCTACAACTCTGGGTAGGTGATGATGTTAGAGCCTAGTCTCTAACTGATAGCCATACTGCAACATAGATGATTATATTTCTCTTTGTAGCTGAGAGACTTTCTTTTCTCTGGTATCTATGAATCTAGATCTTAACCTTAGGCTCATAGATTTTGATTCCAGTCATGTTACAGGACACCCATGATGGGTTTGTTGATGTCTTTTTTTTTTCTTTAGTCAATAGTACTATAAAGCTTGTTTTGGTGCCGGCTCTATAAAATCAATTTTCTTTCTTGGTTAGCGTTTGAAGGAATAACAGCCCCCATAAATAATTAAGATGTTATCATCTTGACTTGAAGATAAAGCGTTGCTCTTTCTTAATTCTTTAATAAGAATATATATTTTTCCCTCTATTTTGTAGTGGAAGCTTATGATCCATGTGGGACCCCGCAAAGCCGGGGAGGTTTCGAGGCATTCTGGAAAAAGCGTTTAACTAGTCCCTTTCGGCAACAAATACTTTATATACGTTGGCTATAAATTAAAATACTATAGAAAAATACGCATGCCTTATTAGTTCTAATTAAATTTAACTTCTGTACAATACTAATAAGTTCTATACTTCCTAAACAATTAATCATTATATTCTACATGCGTTCATATGGTATTGCTATTTCCGTTTGTGGGAGAATACACCGACATTTCTATTTTGCAGTCACGTAAGGAATTAATTCGTGATTTTTTTTCCTTACACATACGTAAAAGAATTCATGTTCTAATTGATCATTGGGCTTCGCTTTTGTTTTCTTTGGTAGGATAAACTATTAAATGTTGTGATTCAATCATAAAAAATGGAAATGCTTTCTATATTACATCATGAGTGCAAATTTTTATGTGGAATTATTAAAGCCAAGTATAAGTCTTTTTTATCCATGTCTTTAATAGAGTCTCTATTTATTTATGCTAAGGTCGGCTTTAGGCATAATTAATTTATTTTATTTTAGACTTAATCCTTATTCCCCGTGGGTATTGCTGAAGAAAAGAACCAACCAACCAATAAATAAATTACATGAGAAGAATCCAAATATAATAACCCTAGCGATAGTATAATGTACATTTCATGGGTATGCTGTATTTGTTAGGAAAACAGACATAAACCTTGAGGGTTTGACCCGCTGGTCACTTCATTTTCAAACAGAACTGTGCCACACAAATAATGCAGGTGCTTAATTATAGAAGCTACACAAATCCACGGGAACAAACTAAATACAGAATAATTAAATTAGGCAATTATTTCTAAATTGTACTCTCTCCGTCTCAAATTATAGAGCACTTTTGAAGGAGTTTTTCCGTTCTAATATATAAACACTTTGAGTAGATTAAGATTTCATTAAATATATCAATTCTAATACTACCCTTTCTCTCTTTATGATTAATTTCCATCACTTTTCTTTCAATATATTAAATGATGGGTATTTTGAAAGTTTATATTTTTATTTTGAAAAGATAAGGTTGTTAACCATATTTAATAAGGTTATTGATATATAAAATTTTATTTAAAAATATACTTATAATTTAAAATGAGAGTTACTTGTTAGGAAGGGTGTCAATTAATGTTTAGTAGGAGTTTGATGGAGGGAGTATAGATGGGTAGGAAGAGAGAGCATAAACTCGTAAAGCAGAAAAGCACCAAAAGATGGATTCATGAAAGGGAAAGCATGAGGGTGAGATTTGGTAGTTTGGCTTCCCAGGGAAAAGCATGAGTTACCTCTCAAGTCATCCTGCTATGCCACGTGGATTCCCCCATTTGTTCACGTGGCTAAAGCTGGCCCCACATGCAGGTCCCACTTCCACCAGGCCCCCTGCATGCCTCCGCTTTGTAACATTTCCTTTTGCATGATTTAGACTGTGATCACCAACTTTGACTCTTATATACACTACATACATACATGAAAGTAACTGGTGTCAGTCATGAACCTCCCATGGAGACAACAAAATCTCCCTAAATATTCAACCACCAAAGGAGTGTGAAAGAATGCTAGGAAGAGCCGCCAAAGTTGAGTTGCTACAGTGGGCTCACATTAAGGGAGATATCTTTCTCTCACAGAAAAGGAGAGAGATCGATGGAACCAACAATCTGGTTCCACTTGGAGGGGGAGAGAGAGGGGTCTCAGAATCGAAGAAGGAACAGCTGAGAAGCATAGGATAATCTGGGGCACAAGACACAGCTTCAAACCAAAGATAACAGGAATCCTCCATTTGATCATAAAACAAATAAAAAGTAATCCAAAGACAAAAGTACTCATCAGAGGTGGCATATTTGCTTTTCCTTTTCTCTCTCTCTCTCTTTTTGTCCTCATCTTTATTAAAACCCCAAGCAATCCCCACATTCCGCCCCTCTACCTGCACTCATCCTTCTCTCATCTCCTCCATATAGTTTGGATCTTCTTCTTCTTCTTCTCTTTCTTCCTCTTCCTCCTCCTCTCCCTTGGCAGATACCATCAGGTCCAAAATTTGGGCACACATATCTATATAGATATAGTTACATACATAGCATACACACATGGCACCAGTTTCACTGCCTCCTGGTTTCAGGTTCCACCCTACGGATGAAGAGCTGGTTGCTTACTATCTCAAAAGAAAGATCAATGGCCACAGGATTGAGTTAGAGATCATCCCCGAAGTTGATCTCTACAAGTGCGAACCCTGGGACTTGCCTGGTACGTTTATATTTCAAGTCTGTTTACTGATAATGATGATCGTTAGTTTGTTCAGTTCTTCGTTATCTCATGCATGCATGTATAATTATGACTAATTACACGGTTCCAGAAAAACTATATATGATATATATCATCGTTTAGGTGGATTTTTAGATTTTAGATAGATACTTGTAATAGAATTCAACAAAAGAATATTGAAAGCTTCTTTTGGAGTTTAATTAAGACCCGATTTGCTTATATTTTTAATATGATTATATGAAACATGCTTGCTTTATTGGTCAAGTATAGTTTTCGGGCTTTAACATAAAATATCTGATGACGTGATCTAGGTTTATCTTTATGGTGTAAAGGATTGTTGTACTTAGGGTTCTACAGGATGGTCCCTTCATCACTTTTAGGGTTCCTATATTGAAAACAAGACTAGTCGTAATGAGACAATTATGGGATTCCCCGCCAAGTCAAAAAGAATTCATCTAACCGCGAGAGAGAGAGAGAGAGAGAGAGAGATCAGCGCGTGCGCTGGCTACAAGATATATATCAGTCCCATATTTCTTGATTTAAGTCAAAACACAAGCATTTCTGAAAATCAGTTTACGTCTCTTGAATCACTGTGTCCCTGTATTAACCACAATCGATTCGATGGTTGCATATTACAGGAAAGTCGTTGCTACCTGGCAAAGATTTGGAGTGGTATTTCTTCAGTCCTCGGGATAGGAAGTACCCAAACGGGTCAAGAACAAACCGAGCCACCAAATCCGGATATTGGAAGGCCACAGGCAAAGACAGGAAAGTGAATTCCCAATCTCGTGCAGTGGGTATGAAGAAAACCCTAGTTTACTATCGAGGCCGAGCCCCTCATGGTTGTCGTACCAACTGGGTTATGCATGAGTATCGTCTTGACGAGAGAGAATGTGAAGCTGCTTCTTCTGGCCTTCAGGTTCTCCTCTTCTGTACTCATATTTTTATTCCATTCTTCTTCTCCACTCAAAGACATTAGATTCTGGTGTTGATGGCTGACACAGTACGTGCTTTTAATTAATTCGTTGAAAAATTAAATGCAGGATGCATATGCTCTCTGTCGTGTGTTCAAGAAGACTGCAGTTATAACCACGAAAATCGGAGACCACTACGTGAGTGGGAATCAGATTATTACAAGTGACCAGTCATCCAGCATTGAACTGTACTCCGAAGGAAGATCAGGAGAAGATTTAGAGAGCTCAGATTATTTGATGCCTCTGGATCATAGCTCATCACCCAACATTGGAAATGCCCCTTCATCAGGACCAAGAGATCATGGCAAATGGTCACAGGCACAGTTCATATCTGAAGATCCCTTCTTTCTTCCAGATTCCTCTTCACTATTTTCCAACTATGGCTCCATGCCCTACCCTCCATCCAAGGTAGTACAAATATTTAATACAAGGGTCTACATTTGTAAACAATCTTTTGTGAATTATATTTCGATGCCTCACACATAAATATATGATGATTTAAATATTGCAGGTGGATATAGCACTAGAGTGTGCAAGGATGCAGCACAGGTTTTCTCCAATGGAGGACTTTCCTTCAGAACTGAAGATGCAACCACAATATGGTGGGCCAAAAAATGAAACTGATGAGTTATTACAGGAGATTCTCTCAGTTGCTCATGCTTCTCAGGATCTCATAAACCAGTCTTCTAAATATTCTTCTCACTCATGGGGTGCTACTAGCACAGCAAACCAACATCATTACGCTCCTTCTGAACGAGAAGAAGATTTCACCTTCATGGTTGGCCGAGATAGTACTGCTAATGACTATAACTATTATAACAATGCCTGCTCGGAAGACCCAGTACTGCTAAACACAAGGTCGATAGAGATTGGAGATCTGGATGATGATTTCAAAGCAGAGAGGATCGTGGAGAATTTAAGATGGGTTGGTATGTCAAGCAAAGAGTTGGAATTTAAGGTATGATTTGTATTTCTACAAGCGGTATAGATAAATGTTCATTGAAATTTAATGCTAATTATACTAATAGCAAGTAGGATGGGACTAGCGTACAAATCTATTGAAACTCTGGGGCGCTATAAAAAGGGAATTAATTACACTATAGTAAAATAACAAATAAAGTAAATGGACAGAGACGAAAAAATAATAGATCATGTTATTCATGAATAATATATAATGTATAATTCCTTTTCCATGCTCATATATATATATATATATATATATTTCCGATCGAGATAATTTTACCTATTAATTTGGGTCCTAATTAATTGAGCTAAGGGCGAAAAAATTGTTTTGTTAATAAATGGCTGTCGACAAAAAGAAGAGTTAATGGTTATATTTTCCCAATGTTCTTACAGAGCTTAACGGAAGGTCGAAAAATTGTTCCGATCGAGGATATTTCAAGTTTCCGAACAAACAGGGAGGGGAATGAACTGCTGCAAGGTACTGAAAATTCTATGACTCATTTAGAATATCATTATAGATAGAATACAAGGTATAGATGAGTAACATTATTAAGAAGCTAAAAAAGTGTCCGTTCAATAAATGTGTTTTGTATGGATAATTCGGATTTTGAGTATACAACAATTTCTAGAAATATATTGATAATGATTAGTAATAAACAGTTTAAAATAGTTATAAAAAGGATGCAACTGATAACATTTTGTCTTTGAGAAATTAACAAGAGCATTTCTATGCAGCAGAATGTGATAATCAGCAAGAAAATAGAAGAAAGGAACTCAATGACACTGACATAAACGACATCTCATTAGAGTTTATCAACGAGGATGACACTAATGAGAACTTCATAGACGAAGAAGGCGATTATTCAAGTTCTCCAAGCTTTGAGGTGGTTGAGGAAGTCAAAGTCAGCCATGGAATGTTTGTGTCCACAAGACAAGTAGCTGACACATTCTTTCACCAAATAGTTCCTTCACAAACCCTCAAGGTTCACCTCAATCCAGTGATAATGGCGCACAATTATCACTCAGTGGAGAGCATAGACACAGTTTCTTTCTTTAGAAACTTGAAGGCCTGTGCGAAAACAATATCAAGTCCCATAATATTCATACTTTCGCTTCTGCTAATGCATTGTATTTATTATTCAGATTCTGATCAGGATGTGAAGGGGAGAAGTTGGAGTGGTGCTGCTAATAATTGCAATAACAGCATGAAGAGAATGAGAGAATATGATGATGATGAGAAAATCAAGTGGGATAATGAGAAGGAAAAGGTTTGGTTTGTGAGCACTAGAAGTGGGAAAGGATTCAGTGTGGTGTTGAAGAAGATAGGCATTTTTCTCACAATTTCTTTTGCTCTCTGTACCATGTGGGCTAACCACGTCATAGTTCATTAACCCTTCATCTCCTCTAGTCTCTTTCTCTTTCTTTTGTCTCTAACCAAAGGATTTAATTTAACGGACAGCTCCAATTGATCTTGTCCCCGTTAATCATTTTAGGACATTGATTATCCAAATATACTTGTATTTATTTTATTTTGACGCACTTGTTATTTGATTAAGAATTAATTGTATTCAATTGACATATAGTGAAATGTTCAGTGAATTTCTTTCTTTCTTTTTTTTTTGGAAATGTGTTCTGTTTACGAAGAAAACTACGCGCATAGACAGTGAGGGGGGAAAAATGAAGAATAAACCTCAGCGTAAAACTCACACTTGCCATTAAAGTTTGGATATATCTCCCCCAATCTTCCGTCGAACGGTGATTAATTAGAGCTTAATTTATGATTGTTTTCTTATATATCTATGCATAGATGCATATTTGTAAATAGTTGTTACTTTGCTAATTATTAAATAATATCATATTTAACTGAGTTGATTTTCACCTTCAGAAAATTTTAAAAATAAAACGCGTTGTGCTATCTTTTTCAGTGAATGGAATATATCATTGTTTTTTTTTTTTGATAAACAAGATGATCAAAGCATGGAAAATATCTATTTATCGAACCATTCTTCCCCCCACCCCCTCCTCTCTCTCTCTCTCTCTCTCTCTCTCTTCTCAGTATTCTTGGTTTTCAATCCGCATTAAGCCAGTCAATATTTTCAACGAAGGGCATACCTCCAACCGAGAATAATCACTGCCGCATACTTACAGCCCAAATGAAGAAGCCCAACATGACCAAATTCCAATTAGTGTTTAATACCAATACTTCAGCGTAGCAAACTTATTGTATGTGGCCCAAAAGAAATTACCATAGGTAACCAGGCCCATGACCTTAGACACGTAAGCAAATTTAATCAGGTTGTTCTTTCAACTAAGTTGCATAATTTTTGAGTCTGATAATTCAAATTAGCTTTCATTAGTTATTTATTAGTTCAAATTTAGGGTTTAAGGTTAATTATCGAAGGTTATTATTTGTTTGAATTTTTCTAGATAATTTAGGTGAACTTGGATTAGGTTTAAGGTTAATTTAGATTGATTTAGTAATCTCTAGTTTATTTTGAGTTTTTGTCTACTTTATTATTTTTCATGGACTAAACTTCAACACCTAAAGTTTTGATTGGCTTGAAAATATGCTTGGACATTTGTCCAAAAAAAAAAAGTGCCTGTATATATTAGGTAGCATCTGAGTTCTGACTATATCTAAGGCTTGAATTAACAAAATAAAATTACTTTTTTCCTCTAATTAACCTTTAAAATTTAATAATTTTACCTTTTTTCATTCCATACATACTCACTCGTATCTTTATCAAAAAGTAACTATAATTAATAACACATACTTAATTGTATAAATATTAATTTTACATAAACAAACATTCATTCAAATTTTAACAACTAATCATACATAATTAATAAATCATTAAATCATTAAACTTTAGGAGTAAATAAATATCTTCTTACAAAATTAAATTTTTAAAATGGTACTTTGGGAGGTGTAGTGAAATTTTAAATTTTTAAGCTCAGACATAAAAACCCTCTAAGGATCCTTACATGATATTTTCCCTAGTTTTTAATACAAGACTTTCACAAAATTTATTGACATATTTGCAACCCATTTTAAAAAATACCCTTTATTTCTTTCTCTCTTAAATTAAATAACTACCAACTAAAATTGACATAACTAGTAAAAGCATTTATTATTTAAGTAAAGTAAATGATTAGGGAGGCAAACCTCAATTTTTTCATATGAGCAACTTAATTAAAATAGATCTACACATTGCTTTCACTACCTCAAAAGAGATATTCTTTACTATTGGTGGCCAACTCCTTAGATTTACTAAAATTAAATTGAAGAATAGCTTTTTCATTCCTTCTCCCCTTCTTAATAGACACTAACCAAACTATAACTTTAAAAAATAGTTTTTTACATTTAATAATTAATAAAGCTATATAAAATTATAAAAAGAACGGAGAAAATATAATTTTAAATCCTTGCATTTTTTTAATATTTTAAATCTCTACACTTTTATTTTTTGATGTGTTAAATTCCTTCAAGGTCCATACATTTTATTTATAAAGAAACCTAAAACATTAAAAAATAAAAGAGTAAAGACTTAAAATATTAAAAAAATGCAAGAACAACAAAACATGAGCAAAGTATAAAGTTATTTTTTTCAAAAAAAATAAATTAAAATAATAAATTAACTATAATTAAGAACAGTACAAAACTCAACTTATAATGAACCTTTTTACTTCCTAGCCAGGCAAACCAAAAAAAGATACGAGCTAGATCAAATCAAACTTTAACTAAATAGGTCAAATTTTTGGCAAAGGGCACACACCCATCTATATTCACACACCCCACCACTTTTTCCTATCTTGAGGATCAAGCACACAACTTCCTGAGAAGTGCCAATGCCACTAGGCCACAAGGGCCTCAACATTTAATAGGAACTCGAGGATTGAGCCTTTATGCGAGTTCTCTCTTTCTTTTTCTTTTTTTAACAGCACTATGCTTGGCCTATATTAGAACTTATTTAGCATGTATAATTCCCCCAATCTCATTAATAAAGCACATTTTAAAAGATCTATTTAATTTTGTGATTTATAACTTTTTAAATAATATTTGAATGGTATTTTTAAAATCACCCCTTATGAAAAAGAGAAAGTAATATGATATTACTTTTTGAATTTATTATCTAAGAAGCATATTTAAAATTTTACATACTTTTATTTCTCATGCTTTTTTCACATTAATATTAATGAGGTTAATAGAAATAATTTAAAAAAAGAATAAGAAAAATATACTTTCAAAAAGGGCTAGGGGATTAGGCCTTGAAAGCCTAAATAGGCTCTTTAAAGCCTACATGTTATTAACATAAAATCAAAATCTAACCTTTATAATAGGTTAATAAATTCAAATAACTACTTTAAATAGTGAGACCTAAATTCCAAACAACGGTCCTCCTAATGGCAGACTAGGAAACAAAAACATAATTAGAGTAGCATTAAATCAAAATTGAACAATACAACATAACAAAAGCCAATAGACACCAATCAATATTTCAATATAATCTTCTGTTTAGATGGCTCCTACACAATGAAAAAAGGGCTAGTTAAAAATCAATAACAAGTCCAACAAAAGTGCAACCAACAATGCAACAAGTATAGACAAACAAATAACTCCTAGTTATTTTCTTCAACAAATACTTGTTCCTGACCCAATTTCCACTACAAATAAGAACTTTAATAGATTTATCACTTCAACAAGTGAGCGGCATCATTAAAAGAAAAATACAACATAATTTTGTAACCACTATAAGAAATCGTCATGCAAACAAAAAAGAGAAAAATAAAAACATGTATCACACGCTGGTGAAATCAATTTAATTAGATATCGTACCAAAAACATAGAGAAACAACCAACGTCTCCCTTTATTAATTCACTTTTTGGCCAATAAATACTATAGCTCACGATGGCCCAGAAGTACAAGGATGTGCTCAGACAATCTCTATAAGAAAAAGAAATACTACTACTGAATAAAACACAGCAAGCAGATGCACAACTGCACAAATTACATCGCAATCTACCAGTTAGGCAAATGCATTCCATTGCATGCTCGTAATCCATAAGTGGATGGCATCATTAAAAGAAAAAAGCAATAAATCCTGAAAATATAAGAAATCCAACGAGCCACAAGAAAAATTATATTTATATAATCCAACCAAAAATCAAGAGTCATATTGCAAAGAAAATCATACAAACATAATCTTGCGTACATGGAAAATGTGCCATCGTGAAAGTTCAATCTTCACTGCATTTTATCAAACTAAGATCATTTTTTCTGAATAAAGAATTTACTTTAACCAAACTGTACTAATTTTAGATTGCCTACATGAAAAAAAAATCTTGCGCATGATATCCGAAAAAATTGGTGAAGGCATCCAATAATTCAGGATTGTTATCAGTTTAGCTTTTACATACCATCGGCATATGCATACATGTGTTATTGCACATATTTGTGACGCAACAAAAGAAAGAACAAATAAAAAATATCAGTATACAAGTATATCTTCACAAATAACTCCTTTTGCAATGATGACCATAAGTTCTTCTGGCTCTTGCGAGGCTGCAGCCATGTACATTTTTACCATGGAACTTATCCTAACTTCCTAGAATTTATAATTTTATAATCAAAACTTGACTCACTATTATTTAAAACCCAAGAAACTCCTCACATAAAAAATTTTATTTAATCACCCTATTTGACCCAAATTAAGATTGCAAATATAATTTCCTATTTTTAGAACAATATCTAATTAAAACAAAACTGTAATATTTCAATGTTTTGCAAATAATAGTCCAAGAAATTCAGAAAACTTTACCCAAAAGTTAAAAAAAAAAAACAAAATTCATGTACGTATATTTGAACTTAAGTTATTAAACGTGCAATCAATAGCAGAGCAAAGAAGAAAAAAAGTCCATTTTTTTAAAATAATTTAATACGCTTATAAGTTCTTGATAATAATTGGTCTATTTTAATTTATATTAAATTTAAATTTGTTATGTAGAAAAAAATATATATTAAAAATAAATTATCTAAAAAAATTGACTTGGTATAATGAAAAATGTAAGTAATATTAAAATTAAAAATCCTCTAAAACCACTAGAAATTTAACATTTTAAAATGACCAGATAAGAAGATTGAGCACTAAAGGGGAAAGTACCTGATATTAAATGATAGCAACCTAATAAAGGTAGTGATGAGCTTTTCTCAGCTGCTAGCTACAGTGATTCTTGCCTCATAAACACACTCTCTCTCTCTCTCTCTCAATCTTTGAGAGTTCAATGGAAGAAACATGCAACCGGAAAATGCCGCTGGACATGCCTTCAGAACAGCTCTCTCCTAATGATCGTGTTAAGAAAAATAAGGAGGTCAAGGAAGACACTATCATGTTCGATAAAATGGAAGATGCAGAAACTTGTGTTGATATGGAACAACCATCTAAAGAAAAGCAGGGTCCTATTATCAATCACAAGCAGTTTTCATACAAGGAATCTCTTTTAGGATTTAAAGGAACCGATTATAATGGCATTGCTTATGGAAGTTCCGTCATGGAAGACGATCCTCTGATCTCAGACTTGCTTGACCAAATATGGGAACTACCTGAACCTTCAGAGGAAATAAAAAAAGCTTAGGAGTATTTATCCCGTCGTCCCCGTCTCTCACAATGAGTTTAATGACTAGTGCAGGCCCTGGAATAACAAATTGGTTATCACTATTCTCGAAGCATGCTTCATTCTGCTAAAGCTCAAGGAGTGTTTGAGCAGAATCTAGCACCTGAATGAATTCGAGCTTATTGACCTTCCTAACAACTACTATGTCATTCGTTTCACTGATGAGACCAATTGGGTAGTTCACTATAAAAAAGTCTTATTTAAAGGACCTTGATTTATTACACAGCATTGTGTGCTTGTTCAACAATGGACACCATATTTTGATCCTTTTCATAATTCTTTGGGAAGAATCGCCACCTAGGTTCGCATTCCTAACATTCCCAAGCATCACATTAAGAGCTTCATATGGAGATTGGGTGACATGATCAATCAAACTATCAAAGTTGATATGAATACCATTATAGATGCGGATGCCTCAAGAGCTAAAGTTGAATGAGGGAGATATGCTGGGATCTGTGTCGAGCTCAACTTGCAAAAGAAATCGGTGCCTCTAATTATCTTGGCTTTTACACTCTTCAACGTGGAAAATGACGGACTTGGTCTAATATGGTAGATATGGACATTGAAAGGAAGCGTGTCTATAGATATCAGGCGCGTCATCTTCTCAAGCTTTGACCCCAACTACTGCCATTCCGCCACCCTGCTTGTTACCATCGAGTAAGCTACCTAAAGCAGAGGAAATATTCAGGACTTAGATGTTTCTGCCGGAGCCTACTCATCTTCGTTTCGTGCATCAAAAATGCTATAAGGGTAGGTAAGATTGATAGCATACTGTGTCAACATAGACGTCCACCATTGACTTATCAAAGAAGAAAGTGGAAGAAGTTAGAGTCAGTTAAGCAGAATTAAATTGATTTTAATTTAATTATTTCATTTTCAATTAGTTGGCTAAATAAGTGGATCCATTTTTGATATATGGTTCACCCATGTTAAGTTTGTTTGAGTCAATTTTTGTTTGAGTCAGTTATTATCCTAGATATGTTGGGATATTTTCTTATTATTAATTTATTATTTTGGTGTAATTCCTACATTATAAATGGGCTAGCTTTCATCATAGCTAGGCATTCAAAAAATAAAATACTATTTCCCTTGAAGATTCTCCTATTCTGGCTATTAAATATTTAGAGTGAGATTCTTGCTATAATTTATTTAATAGATTTATTTGCTTTCCTTATCATTTTGAGTTCTTATCAATTTGGTATCCGAGCCACGTTCGATCAACATGATGACCACACATTCCATTAACAAAACCATCGATCCCAATGCCACTTCCTCCAATAACCTCCCATGCAATGAATCTGTAGTCAATCCATTTTCAGAAGACCCATTAACAGCAATTGCTTCCAAATTAGAGACACTTGATTTATTAAAAGAGAAGATAGAGGCCCTTGAGGCTTCTGCGACAAGTAAAGGCAAATGAACCATAGAGAGCCACTATAGGCTCTCACACTGGGAAGATGATGGTGAAGATGACTATGACCAAAGGGGCCCACATCCACTATATACAAAAATTAAATTTCCAAACTTTAGTGGAGGAGAACCCCAAGGATGGAATTTGACGGCTGAATTTTTTTTTTCAGTATTATCAAACACCAGAAGATTGAAAGTAGATGTTGCTTTAATGAGTCTAGAAGGAGATGCTTTAGATTTATTCTCATAGGTAAATTTAAAACGCACCTTGTTGTACTAGGATGAGTTGGTCAAGGCACTAAAAGAGCATTATAGGCCTCCTAAATATCAAAATCTAGATGAACACCTTGCGACCATTAAGCAAACCAAATCAGTACAGGAATACCGTCAAGAATTTACTAAGTGGGTAGCACGAGTTCGCACTTGGCCAGAGCACTGCCTCTTGGGTATTTTTATGGGTGGCCTCAAGGAAGAATTAAAAACTGATGTATGCATTCAGAAACGTAGAATAGTGTTTAAAGCTGCAAGTTTGGCCCTAAAATTTGAGAGAAAGGCCCAAAATGAGCGTGGACCCAGGCCCAATTCCTCATACACTCAAAATCGCCTAAATCAGTCCCAATTTGCACATGATTTCCACAATTCCAGAGACTCCAATTCACTGGCTTCATCTACGTATCCCTTTAAACCAGCTTCTTCAGCCTCAATCACGCCTATATACTCCTCAACAGCTGCAAGAATCTCTCCCGAAGATGCAAAACGTCAAAACTAGCGAGATAAGGGTCTGTGCTTCCAGTGTGGGGCTATCTTCTGACTTGGGCATCGCTGCAATACTTCTTTTTCTTTGCTGGAAATTTTTAAAGAAGGTGAAGAAATTCTACCTCCCCTACACGAAGAAGCCAAGATAGAAATGGAGCCAGAGGAGGCCAAAATCTCATTTAATGCGATTCTAGGACAGCATTCGGCAGCCACAATGAAACTTCAAGGCATGCTCAAGGGTCGTACTGTTCTGATTTTAGTTGATAGCGGCTCCACACACAATTTCATCTCAAACACAGTGGTATTCGAATTGCAACTCCCCGTACAAACTGTTCCAACTTTTAAAGCTCAAATTGGTAATGGTAGCAAAGTGAAATGCCATCAAGTTTGCTCAAAGATTGAGGTAACAATTTCTAATTTAACTATTCAGCAAGATTCCTACCCTTTCTCCTTAGGTGGTTCTGATTTGGTACTGGGTATTAAATGGTTGGCTTTATTGAACACTGTGCAAGCTAACAGGAACAAAATATGTATGATTTTTTGGCTAAATGGGAAGAAATATAAGCTGCAAGGCCTACCTACTAACAGTGATGCTTCTATCCATCTCCATAACATGCTTCTTACTCAGGAATTAAGTGAAAGGGATGCATCAGGACACTTGAATATTGACAAAAATTTTTATGATTTTGCTTATGTCTTTTCTGAGCCAGGGTGCTTGCCACCACCCTAAGATCATTACCATGCCATCAAGCTATTCCTAAATGCTACACCTACTAATCTACGGCCATATCATTACCCTCATTACCAGAAGGATGAGATTGAAGCTCAAATTGAGAGCTTGCTATAATGTGGATTCATACGACCTAGCACCAGTCCATTTGCCAGTCTTGTGCTACTAGTTGGTAAAAAGGATGGTTCTTGGCGCCTCTGCATTGACCACCAGCATCTTGATCAAATTACCATACCAAATAAGTACCCCATTCCCAATATCGATAAACTTTTAGATGAGTAGCATGGGGCTGTCTACTTTTCAAAAATCAATTTACAGTCTGGATATCATCAAATCCCTGTTCTACCAAAGAATGTACATAAAACAGCTTTTTGCACTCACTCAGGCCACTACGAATTCTTAGTTATGTCATTTGGTTTAACTAACGAACTGGCTACCTTCCTGTATATTATGAATGACTTATTTAGGCCTTATTTACGAAAATTTGTGCTAGTATTTTTCGATGACATCTTAGTTTATAGTGCTTCCCCACAACAACATTTACAGCATCTGAGAGCAGTATTCTAGATTCTACAAAAGCAATCCTTCTTTGCCAATGCCAAAAAATGCTCGTAAGGCCAGACTCAAATTAGCTACTTGGGCTATATGGTTTTTGCCTAAGGGGTTAAAGTGGATTCTGATCAAATAAACTACAGTGGTGCAATGGCCCGCTCCTAAATCTGTAAAAGAACTCCGTGGGTTCTTAAGGCTCACTGGTTATTACAGGTGTTTTGTCAAAAACTATGGTATTATTGCTAGACCCTTGACTAAACTAACCCAGAAAAATTCTTTTTATTGGTCTGAACAGGCACAAAAAGCTTTTGAGGCATTAAAATTAGTAATGACCACCACACCGGTGCTGCAACTACCAAAGTTTCATCTTCCTTTCACGATTCAGTGTGATGCTTTAATGGAGGGTATCGGTGCTATCCCAGTTCAAGAAGGACATGCAATATCTTATTTCAACAAGGGATTCTCTTTTTCCAACAGGTATAAGTCCATATATGATAGGGAGCTGTTGGCTCTAGTGCTTGCGATTCAAAAATGGCACCATTACCTACTTGGTCGCCATTTCTATGTCCAAACTGATCACTGCAACCTTAAGTGCCTCTTGGAACAGCACACCCTCACCAATTCCCAACAGTGAATGATGCTAAAGCTTCTTCCTTTCAATTTTACCATCATATACAAAGCAGGAAAGGACAATACAGCAACTGATTCACTATCACGAAGGCCTCAACATGCTGATTTTTTTCCAGATTGTCATCCCTTTAGCAGATGCCTTGTAGCAACTTCCTGCAGCATTAATGACAGACTCTGGAACCAAAGCTATTATGGATGCATTACAAACAAATCCACATTCTCACCCAGATTATAGCTTGGTGGAAGGCATATTATATTTCAAGGGACAACTTTTAGTTCCAAATGTTGCTCAATTACGAGCTAAATTCTTGGAAGAAGCTCATGCGACGCCAACAGGTCGTCATAGAGGGTTCCTAAGGACCTTGAAGCGATTAGGATCAAGTGTGCATTTGCGAGGTATGAAAACAGATGTTAAACATTTTATATAAAGATGTTTAATTTGTCAACAACATAAATATGAAACTCTTTCTCCTGCTAGACTCCTTAACCCACTCCCTATTCCGGAGCAAATTTGGGAGGACGTATCTCTTGACTTTATCACAGGGCTCCCAAAGTCTAGAGATTTTGATGTTATCTTGGCGATAGTTGATCAGCTCAGTAAATACAGCCATTTCATTGCTTTGTCACACCCTTATTCTGCAAAAACTATGGCTAGTTTATTTTGTCAAGAGATTATACGTTTGCATGGTATTCCTCGGTCAATCATTTCAGATTGTGACTCCATTTTTCTAAGTGCTTTTTGGCAAGAACTCTTCTATTTGAGGCATACACGATTAAACGTGAGTACAGCATATCACCCACAATTCGATGGCCAAATCGAGGTAGTAAATCACTGTTTGCAGACCTATTTATAATGCTTTGCTCATGAGCAACCTAAATTATGGAGTAAATTTCTCTGCTGCGCTGAATTCTCATTTAACACCAGCTTTCACTCTTCAACAAACACTACTCCCTTTAAATTAGTTTATGGGCGTGATCCTCCTCCTTTATGCCCTTATTAAAGGGAGAAACATTAGTTGCAGATTTAAAGGAGCAACTGGAGCTGTGTGACGCCATGCTCAAACTACTATGTGATAACTTAAAGAAAGCACAAGATAGGATGAAAGCACAAGCAAATCAACATAGGCGGGACCTTCAATTTCAACCAAGGGATGCAGTTTTTCTACGTCTTCAACCTTATCGCCAAAAGTCCTTAGCTAGGTGTAAGAATGAAAAATTGTCCCCCTGGTTTTTTGGACCTTAGACAGTTGTGAGGCGCATGGGAACAGTTGCTTATGAGCTTGACTTGCCTCTTGAGTCTAAGGTGCACCCTATTTTTCATGTCTCCCTACTTCGGCCTGCTCAAGGGCAGCAACCATCTTCACCACCAGCACCTTTACCTCTTTTAGAAAATTTGGAGCTCCTCCTTACTCCCTTAAAGGTACTGAATCATCGCTGGACACCAGGAGGTATTTTGGAAATTTTAATTCAATGGGATCACCGTCTACTTAAAGATACAAGCTAGGAAGACTATGATTTAATAGCCATTCAATTCCCTACTTTTCAACTTGAGGACAAGTCTATTTTTCAGGAGGGGGTACTGATAGCATGCTGCGTCAACATGAACGTCTACTATTGACTTATCAGAGAAGAAAGGGGAAGAAGTTAGAGTCAGTTATGCAGAATTAAATTGATTTTAATTTAATTATTTTATTTTCAGTTAGCTGGCAAAATAAGTGGATCAACTTTTGATATGTGGTTCACCCATGTCTGTTTAAGTCAATTTCTATTTGAGTCAGTTATTATCTCGAATATGTTGGGATATTTTCTTATTATTAATTTATTATTTTGGTGTAATTCCTGCATTATAAATGAGGTTGCTTTCATCATAGCTAGACATTCAGAAAATAAAATACTATTTCCCTTAGAGATTCTCCTACTCTGGCTATTAAATATTTCTAGAGTGAGATTCTTGCTCTAATTTATTTAATAGATTTATTTGCTTTCCTTATCATTCTGAGTTCTTATCAAATTTTAGGGGAAAAAACACGGCTCAAGGGGAAAAAGTTGATGACAATTGGATTTCTTCAAGTTATGCAGCCCTTACAGGCTTAAAGGATGATTATGATAACCTAAGTCAACCTAACCTTGACACAAATGTGGGAAGGTCTACTTCTGACATTACGGATAAATCTCTGGCGATGTATGTTAAGAAAAAGGAGGCTCAAAAAAAAGCTGTCTCTAAGATAGGATAAAGGGATAAGTCTCGTAGAAAGGACCCGAATAGTGGGAAAAGGATTTGTGTAGCAAAGGGTAAGGAAACTATAACACCTAACCATCAGGCTTGATTGACAAAGTTCCTCCTACAAGTTCAGCCAATAATGGGCTAGAAAACGGATTCAAATCCATAGGAAATAAAGTCAAATAAGACAAAAGAATTATGGCCCAGAGAACCCATGTAGTGGTAAGTGGCTCTTTAGCCCACACTAAGTGCAAGCTAATCGTGGATAAGAAGGAATTTCCGCCTCTTGTGCCTCTGCCCCAGTCGATGCCTTCTGATATGTCCATCTCTATCACACCCTCCTCAAAACATCTTCTCCCTGGGCCTCGACCACCAGATGGAATCTAAAACCAAGAGTGGTCCTTAAAGGGCAAAAATGAATTCCACGATCAACCTTTTACAAGGTATTATGGAGGTTAACATTCATCATGTGTATAAGTTTGCTAAATGAACAGACCTTATTGTAGGAGACAATCATGGAGCTAGCAGATTGGATAACTATTATTACTGATTTTCCTGCTAATTGTAATGTATTTTTACATGAGAACAGTTTAAGGGTTATCCAGGTTCTCTTTGTGTAATCTTTTCAAGCCCCAGGCTTGCCTTTCTCATTCAAAAAAATAAATAAATAAATAAATAAAGGTAGTGATGCACTACATATATAGGAGAGGAGAACGTCTCTTAACATTTATGTAAATGACAATCAATGAACACACATAAATCTATAGTGCATAAGCAACCTAAAAATTGCAATAGACCGCTAAATAATTTGTGATAATTCCATTTATCCACTACTTCGTTGTTCATTTCTTTGTCATAAGAATTACCCTTACCAAACCACAGACATAATCAAAACCTTAATTGATGCCATTTTTTAGATTAGGCGGGGTCCCCCTTCATGCCACTCAAGTTGCTAATACTAATTCACACTCACTCCACACACAACATCCATCACTCAATCTAAAACAAAAATGTAGATATGCGAGGACAATGTGTAAGACTCCACTAAAATTATTGAAAATTTACTATTTTAATAAGGCCAAATGAGAAGACTGTGAGCACTAAAGGTGAATCCACCCAGTCTTAAACCATAGCATCCTAATAAAGATAGTGACACATAGCATGGATAGGAAAGGATGAGATCTCTTGACATTTGTGGAAATGACAATCAAGGTACATACAAAGATCGATAGTGTATAACCAATTCAAGAATTACAATAGACCACCTGATAATTTGAGAATTCCATTGAGTAGGAATAATCGATTTATCCACTACTTCGTTGTTCATTTCTTCATGTCATAAGAATCACCCTTACCAAACCACAGATTTAATCAAAACCTTAATCAATACCACTTTTTAAGCTTAGGCGAGATCTCCCTAGGAATAGTAAGTTTATCCACTACTTCGTTTTTCATTTCATAATGTCATAAAAATCACCCTCACCAAACCACAAACTTCATCAAAGCCTTAATCAATGCCATTTTCTTGTCTTAGGCAGAATCTCCTTTTAAGCCACTCAAGTAGCTAATAATGAATCACATTCACTCTACACAACATCAATCACCCAATCTAAAGAACAATGTAAAGATGCAAGGACAATGTCTAAGACTCCAATAAAACTACTGAAAATTTACTAATATAATATGGCAGAGTGATTGATGGTGTATAAACAATCCAAGAATTACAATGGACCACATGATAGTTTGTGAGAATTTCCTTGAGTAGGAATAATCAGTTTATTCACTACTCCGTTGTTCATTTCATGTCATAAGAATCACCCTCACCAATTCATAGACTTACCCAAAACCTTGATTGATGCTATTTGTTAGGTAAGGTGAGTCCTCCCTTCATGCCACTCAAGAACCATTTTTGCATTAGATTTTGTGAGGCAAATAGCATTTCACATCCACCTCACTACAACAATTAAATCACTCGATTAAAATAACATTTAAAAGCAGGGAAACACCTCCATCTTACATCACAAGAAAAATTGCCCTTACAAGCCAACATAAAATTAAACTTAGTGTCTTTAAAAATTTCATTTGCCCCCTCTAAAAAATTTCAATTGCACCCTCCCCCCAAAAAAGAATTTCATTTTCATCCTAAAAAATTTACACTTGTCCTCACTAAAAATTTCATTTGATCCAAATCTTATCTATTTATTATAAAGTTAAATAAAAAAAGTTTTATAATGGAGAAAATAATAATTTAAAATTTTTTTTGTCTTCTTTATGCAAATAAATAATTTTATAACTACAACCTTTTCTATCATACAAAGGAGATAAAAAAATGTTATATAACAAAAAAGCATGATTCCAATAGCTATAAAAGTTTTCATTTACACAAAGAAAATATTATTTTTACGATATAGGCATAATTTTTACTATTTAATATTATATTTTTAAAATAAATATTGGAGAAAATAATAGTTAAAAAATAATTTTTTTCATAATATAAATAAATAATTTCATAACAAAATCCTTTTCTATCATATAAAGGAGATAAATAAATTTTATATAATTAAAAAAGCAAGATTCCAACCGCTATAAAAGTTTTGCTTACATTAAGAAAATATTATTTTTTATGTTATTATAATCTTATTTTATTTTAGGCACAATTTTTAGTATTTAATTTTAATAAATTTAAGATTATGTTTTTAAAATAAATAACAATGTTAATGCTAGTCTTAAAATTTGACCCCACTACCTAATTACGAAATCCAAGCATATGGCTCACAAGACAACTAATGCACATTATAGCTTCACCCAAGTTATCCCCACCGCATGAATGAGGAAAAGCAAGCATAAAATTATATTAATTGAATTCAGTAGCCGTCTAAAATCAAATGATTGTCTAAACAACTCAGCAAATAGAATTAAGTAATTAAGAAATTCAAATCATCATGTTTACTTACGTCACATCACCATAATGCAATTTGAATAGTTCGTGTGAAGATACACACCACAAACTGAATAATGAATGAAATGCGTGATCCATAGAGCTGTAAGCTATTGCCAAGAACATCACCAGCCGGAAAAAAATGTGCCATTTTGAAAGCTCAATCTTCACTGCATTGTATAAAACTAAGATCATTTTTCTGAAGAATTTACTATAATCAGGCTGTACCACTAGTAGATTGCCTACATGGAAAAAATCACGCACATGATATCCTAAAAATAGGCAAAGGCATCCAATAATTTAGGATTGTTATCAGTTTAGCATTTACATACCATCAGCATGTGCATATATGTGTTATTGCACACACTTGTTACGCAACAAAAGACAGAATAAATATAAAATATCAGGATACAAATATATCATCACAAATAACTCCTCTTATTATGATGACCATCGGTTCTCCTGCACTTACAAAAGCTTAAGCCATGTCCACATCTCGTCAAACTAATGTTGACTTTGAGTAGCGCAAATTCAAGAAAAGCTTCCTAAATCATTATTTGTAGTATTACAAATATCGCCACATAACAGAATATAACAGAGACGTCCAAATTTGATTAAAGATGCCTTCAAGGCTTTCTCAAGTGATGCAGATTTCTCTTTTCCCATACGCATACACATCTCTAATGCAATGTCAAGAAAAATTCATTTGATTATTAAGCCACTAAACACAATGTAAAATATTTCCAAGGCGTGAACAAAGAAGAAAATTTAACAATTCAAAAACATCATATTCAGCACTCCCTACCTGATAAACGTTATCACATCAGATATTATCATAACATACACGCGTTTGTCAGAAGTTCAGAAGGATGAAATAAAATAAGTTTAAAATTAAGATGCCTACAATTGCTTGAGAACAAATTGACAACAACAATTATGCACTTTCTCTTACCATCTTGATCCAACTGAAGAGTTATATTAGCACATGGCACATCCATGTAGGGTAATAATGTATTATTTAAGATAACAACTAGGAGGCGGGGGAGGAAGAGGAGGAGCCCAAATGAATATAGTCCTAATAATGTATTATGTAAGACAACAACAATGTTTGCTACCACTTGTAAATATTGTTAATCACTGAATTTAACAAGCTTAGGTAGTGTTCTTACCTGGACGTAGGTGCAAACAAGTTTTCTGCCCAGTTAGAGCAGAACCAGATTTTCTTACAATAGGAATCTCATTCACCGCCCCACCTTCATATATTAAAAAAAAAAAACGAAAGACAGAAAAGTTAGAAGCATGTGAGTGAGAAGATATGATCTCAAAACGTAAGTTTCATTGCCTCTGAATCAAAACTATGAAACATATTAGCTTATTAATGACACGAAATTACAGAAGAACGGAAAAGGCTGTGTGTAGCTTAGTAACAAACTGAGCATACCACACTCACAGTTTATATTCATATATTAACCTCGATTTGATTCTAAGCAATAGCATAAAAGAAAAGACAGCTTGTTACTTAAATTACATTTAATTCATCACACCAGTTAACCAATCCTGCATAATAATCTAGCAAATTAAAATATGAACATGCATCTAATCGTTGTGCATGCACACGTGTACCATCACTTTTGAAAAATATATTACTTTATCATTTATCCGTCCATGAAACAACGAAAAACTCATCAATAATTCACATATAAATATCTCCAAAATCCTTCAGCCTCAAAGCTTACGACTTACGAGATGTGCATCTCATGTATAAATAAATAGTATCAGCTTTGCAAATAAATTTTTAAAATAAAGTTTAGCTTGAAATATGGCTACAATCAACATCAAAACTCACAGTTCAAGTTTTCTGAAAATATTAAAACAATAGCACACATGAGGATTAAAAGAAAATATTTCCAAAAACCATATTCTCCTTCGTCCATGGATTTAACATCCTCATCAGTTTAAATCCTAATACACTCCAAGTCGTAAATAAATTGCATGTGCATGAACATGTTACATAAAATTTTATCATACTAATTCACCAAAATTTCCTGCCAAAGTAAATATACAAATCCGCATTCTGAAAACCTTATTTCCTAACAACAAAACTTTCATCATTTAGTCCCAATAACCTCTTAAATAGAATCAATTTCATATCCAAACAAACCCAAAAAATTATAAACGAACAAACCAGAAGTTCTAAGAGGAAGAGATGACCTTGACCAAAAAAGCTACAAACAACCTCCACTTGCTTCAATCTAAACATGTCTCAAGCTCAAAATTGCTAGCATCAAGAACCCCAAAAAATCATCCTCAATCCTGACTTAAATTGGTGCAGGGAAATGAAAAGGGGGAATGGAGAAGTTTAATGAAGAGTACCAGAAATTTGACATAGAAAGGGAAATAGTGGTGGCCTAGTGCTTAAGTGTTTTCTTCCTCGGTTTTCTTCATGCTGAGCAGAATAGAAAAATCAGTTTGTGCTGATAAGAAAAGAAAAAATAGAAGGAAACAGGATGAGGTTCGTTTTGATGAAATATAAACATGATAATGGTTTCTGGAATTCATTAATGAAACTTTCGTTTTAATAGCATTTTTACCCTAAAAAATTATCCTAACTTCCCAAAATATATAATTTTATATTCAAAACTTGACTCTCCATTAATTTCTAAGTTTTTAAATTTATTTAAAACTCAAAAATATCCTTACATAAAAAAAATTTACTTAATCACCCTATTTGTGAAAATTTACCGTCCTCTTTTTTTACAGCAATATCTAATTAAAATAAGACTATAAATATTTCAATATTTTGCAAATAATATTCCAAGAAATTCAGAAAACTTTACCCAAAAGTGATTACATGTGCAATCAATAGATATAAATTATTTTTATATGACAAACTTAAATTTAATAAAAACTAAAATAGATATATTATAATCAAGTAGTTATCAACATATAAATTATTAGTGAATAGTTCAAGTGGATGATCTGGATGTAAACAGTTATATAAAAAATAAATAAATATATTAAAAATAAAAAGCTGAAAAAAATTGACTTGGCATGATGAAAAAAGTAAGTAATATTAAAATTAAAAATCCACTAAAACTATTAGGAATTTAACATTTTAAAATGACCAGATGAGAAGACTGTGAGCACCTGTGGTAAAACCACCCAATCTTAAACGATAGCATTCTAATAAAGATAGTGACAAACTGCATGTATAGGAGAAGACAAAGTCTATTGACATTTATGAAAATGACAATCAAGGAACATACAAAAATCAATAGTGCATAAGCAATTCAAGAATTGCAATGGACCACCCTATAATCTGTGAGAATTCCCTTGAGTAGGAATAATAAGTTCATTGACTACTCTATTGTTCATTTCCTCGTGTCATAAGAATCGCCCTCACCAATCCACAGACTCAATCAAAACCTTAATCGATGCCATTTTTTACAATAGGCAGGATCTCCCTTCATGCCACTCAAATGGCTAATATGGAGGCACATTCACTTCACACACAACATGAATCACTCAATCTAAAACGAAAAATGCAAAGATGCAAGGACAATGTCTAAGGCTTCGCTAAAACTATCGGGAAATTACTGTTTTAATATGGCTGGATGAGAAGACCTTGAGCGTGGAAGGGGAAACAGCCCGATCTTAAACCATAGCATCCTAGGAAAGGTAGTGACGCGCTGCATAGATAGGAGAGGATGAGATCCCTTGACATTTATGGAAATGACAGTTAAGGAACGCACAGAGATTGATAGTGCATAAACAATCCAAGAATTGCAATGGACCACCCTATAATCTGTGAGAATTCCCTGAGTAGGAATAATAAGTTCATTAACTACTCTATTGTTCATTTCCTCGTGTCATAAGAATCGCCCTCACCAATCCACAGACTCAATCAAAACCTTAATCGATGCCATTTTTTACAATAGGCAGGATCTCCCTTCATGCCACTCAAATGGCTAATATGGAGGCACATTCACTTCACACACAACATGAATCACTCAATCTAAAACGAAAAATGCAAAGATGCAAGGACAATGTCTAAGGCTTCGCTAAAACTATCGGGAAATTACTGTTTTAATATGGCTGGATGAGAAGACCTTGAGCGTGGAAGGGGAAACAGCCCGATCTTAAACCATAGCATCCTAGGAAAGGTAGTGACGCGCTGCATAGATAGGAGAGGATGAGATCCCTTGACATTTATGGAAATGACAGTTAAGGAACGCACAGAGATTGATAGTGCATAAACAATCCAAGAATTGCAATGGACCACCCTATAATCTGTGAGAATTCCCTGAGTAGGAATAATAAGTTCATTGACTACTCTATTGTTCATTTCCTCGTGTCATAAGAATCGCCCTCACCAATCCACAGACTCAATCAAAACCTTAATCGATGCCATTTTTTACAATAGGCAGGATCTCCCTTCATGCCACTCAAATGGCTAATATGGAGGCACATTCACTTCACACACAACATGAATCACTCAATCTAAAACGAAAAATGCAAAGATGCAAGGACAATGTCTAAGGCTTCGCTAAAACTATCGGGAAATTACTGTTTTAATATGGCTGGATGAGAAGACCTTGAGCGTGGAAGGGGAAACAGCCCGATCTTAAACCATAGCATCCTAGGAAAGGTAGTGACGCGCTGCATAGATAGGAGAGGATGAGATCCCTTGACATTTATGGAAATGACAGTTAAGGAACGCACAGAGATTGATAGTGCATAAACAATCCAAGAATTGCAATGGACCACCCTATAATCTGTGAGAATTCCCTGAGTAGGAATAATAAGTTCATTGACTACTCTATTGTTCATTTCCTCGTGTCATAAGAATCGCCCTCACCAATCCACAGACTCAATCAAAACCTTAATCGATGCCATTTTTTACAATAGGCAGGATCTCCCTTCATGCCACTCAAATGGCTAATATGGAGGCACATTCACTTCACACACAACATGAATCACTCAATCTAAAACGAAAAATGCAAAGATGCAAGGACAATGTCTAAGGCTTCGCTAAAACTATCGGGAAATTACTGTTTTAATATGGCTGGATGAGAAGACCTTGAGCGTGGAAGGGGAAACAGCCCGATCTTAAACCATAGCATCCTAGGAAAGGTAGTGACGCGCTGCATAGATAGGAGAGGATGAGATCCCTTGACATTTATGGAAATGACAGTTAAGGAACGCACAGAGATTGATAGTGCATAAACAATCCAAGAATTGCAATGGACCACCCTATAATCTGTGAGAATTCCCTGAGTAGGAATAATAAGTTCATTGACTACTCTATTGTTCATTTCCTCGTGTCATAAGAATCGCCCTCACCAATCCACAGACTCAATCAAAACCTTAATCGATGCCATTTTTTACAATAGGCAGGATCTCCCTTCATGCCACTCAAATGGCTAATATGGAGGCACATTCACTTCACACACAACATGAATCACTCAATCTAAAACGAAAAATGCAAAGATGCAAGGACAATGTCTAAGGCTTCGCTAAAACTATCGGGAAATTACTGTTTTAATATGGCTGGATGAGAAGACCTTGAGCGTGGAAGGGGAAACAGCCCGATCTTAAACCATAGCATCCTAGGAAAGGTAGTGACGCGCTGCATAGATAGGAGAGGATGAGATCCCTTGACATTTATGGAAATGACAGTTAAGGAACGCACAGAGATTGATAGTGCATAAACAATCCAAGAATTGCAATGGACCACCCTATAATCTGTGAGAATTCCCTTGAGTAGGAATAATAAGTTCATTGACTACTCTATTGTTCATTTCCTCGTGTCATAAGAATCACCCTCACCAATCCACAGACTCAATCAAAACCTTAATCGATACTATTTTGTTAGATGAGGCAAGATCTCCCCTCATGCCAGTCAAGGACTATTTTTGCCCTAGATTTCATAAGGATCAAGTAGCATTTCACATCCACCTCTCCACAACAATTAAATCACAGAATGAGAATGGCATTTAGTGGAAGGGAAGGACATACTTATGGGGGCAATAGCCCCGCAAGGCAAAGACAAAATTACATGTAATGTCTTTAAAAATTTCAATTGCCCCCTCCCCTAACAAAAGATTTCATCTTCACCCTGAAATATTGCACTTGTCCCCACTAAAAATTTTATTTTATCCATATTTTATCAATTTACAATAAATTTTAAAAAAAATGTGACGGAGAAAATAATAATTTAAAAAAATTATTGTGTTCAACTATGGAAATAAATAATTTAATAATGAAAACCTTTTCTATCGTACAAAGGTGATAAATATATTTTATATGATGAAAAAGCATGAGTCTAACAGCTAGAAAAGTTTTGCTTACATTAAGAAAATATTAATTTTATGTTTTAGACCTAATTTTTAGTATTTAATTGTAATAAATTTCACTTTTAATGTAATTTATAAATTTTTAAAAAAATATATTTCTTAACTAAATAATGGGGAAAAATAATAATTAAAAAAATAATTTTCTTTAATTATGCAAATAAAATCCTCTTCTATCATACAAAGGGGACAAATAAATTTTATATAACAAAAAAACATGATTCCAACAGCTATAAAAGTTTTGTTTACATTAAGAAAATATCATCCTCAAGTTATTACAACTTTATTTTTTAGGCATAATTTTTAGAATTTAATTTTAATAAATTTCATTTTTAATGTAAATTAGTATATTTAAAATAAATAACAATGTTAATACTAGTTTTGACTGTTTACAAGTGAGATTCTATAACACCAAACCCCTCCATGAGAATATATTAGGACAAGAATATTTATTACAACATCCAAGTATATGGCTCACAAGACAATTAATGTATATTCACCCAAGTTATTCCCACCGCATGAATAAGGAACAGAAAGCATAATTTTATGTTAATTGAATTCAGTAATCGTCTACAATCAAATGCTTATGTCTAAGTTACCCAGCAAATAGAACTAAGTAATTAAGAAATTCAAATCATCATGTTTACTTACCTCACAGCACCATAACTGAATTTGAATAGTTCGTGTGAAGATACATACCACAAACTGAATAATGAAGGAAATATGTGATCCATAGACCTGTAAGCCATTGCCAAGAACATCACCAGCCTAAAAAAATGTCATTCTAAAAGCTCAATCTTCACTGCATTGTTTGACATTGCAATTATAAACTGGCAATGAATTTTCGCAAGTTCCAACCTTTGAATAGCAAGCTAACAAGCAACAAATAAATTCAAATATAGATGAGAACCCGGGAACATGAGAACACAAGGTCATTAATTTGTAGTAGCCCGACAGAAATCCTATTTGAAGGTTTCAAATAGGATTTACTCAAGAAAGTAGACCTTTCATAATAGGCTTTAAAGGTTTTAAATGGCCAGTTAAAAGCTACACATGCAAAACCTAATACAGATGAAGAGAAGCCTAGAAAACCAGAGAAATAGCAATATTGTCTCCGAGGGTTCCTACTTTCCTATAACCTACTCAGCATAAGAAGCTACTAACATGCAATAAGGAATTCAATTAGCAAAATACCTTCAATGTACATACCATACAAAAACAAATACAGAGCAAAAGCAAGAGGGATTTAAAGTTACATAAATATACTCGTACACATATAAAAAGGGACAGATCTAGAAACAATGGTGTGGGGGGCCAAAATGCAAAATTACATACTAATGGGGGAAGAAATTAATTTTAGCATTTTTTATAAGTAAAAATCAAGTAAATTTTGCAAAAAGTTTGTCACATGCCGTGCTTGCCCCCCTTAAATCCGTCATTGGATATGAAAGTGAATAAAAAAGACCAGAAGTGAAGAACCTGATGAAATTTTGTGGTCTTCGGAGATCGTACTCTGGTTGTTTTGTATTCAAAGGTTGTCTTCCAAATTGAGGTCTACGAATTTCGGAGGTCGCTTAGTGCCCCTTCGTCTTCAGAGGTCGTCTGCTCCTTTGGGCTTCGGAGGTGCTTTTAGTTTGGTCTTCGAAGGTGTCTTCGGAGGAATAACGAGAAGAAAGGGGGTAGAGAAAGCCTTCTAAGCCTCGCCGCACTCGAAGGTCTGAGTAGTAGTCTTTGGAGGTCGCCGCACTCGAACGAGAAGAAAGGCCGTCTTCAGAGTTCGGCTCGGTCGTCTTTGAAGGACTGAGCCTCGCCGCACTCGGGTTCGTGTAAATGAGAATATGAGGCGAGAGAATGGGAGGAGGAGTCGCGTGGACCGGTGAAGACGAGAGAGGATGGTGAAGACTGGAGAGAACGAGCTTGCATCCGAGCGCCACACCCAAAAGAAAGCGGTTACGATGGACGGGATCAGGCAGAATGAGGAGATGACTGAGAAAGCACGCTGATAAATTATCGATCGGAATAAAAAGAAAATCAAATCACTAATTAATTAATAATTAATTTGTTAAAAATTGTCCGTTACGCACTTATGTTGAACTGAGTACAGGCGTGGAGAACACGCAACTTCATCTTTTATACCGCGAAGCGTGACTTAAATTGGATTTAATTCTATGTTGTTTTACCGTTGGAAACTTGAATTTCACGCAAATTGTTTGATTTGTTTTCCTTCCCCTTTAAATCATTTTGCTTACTTGTTACGTTTAAAAATATAAAATATTTTTGTTTAAACTTAGATGTTAAAAATATAAGATATTTTTAATCTTTTGATGTGTAATTATTATTTTTTTAAATATTCCTATTAATAAATGATCTTATATTTATTATAGGGTGTTTAATTGAAATTAATATAAAAAGATAATATTAGTTTGAAAATAGATAACTACTCTGTTAGGATGAAATTTAATTAAAAATACTGTATATTTTTAAATAAAAAAGTATCTTTTTTTAAATAATTTTTAAGCTATTTCTTTTTCAAGTTTTTAAGTTGTTTTTGTGTAAAAACACTAAGAGCATGTTTGGTTTAAAAAAAAATGATGAATTTTATTGAAGAGAAGGGGAAGGGAGGAGATGGAAAGAGTTTTAATAAACCTCTATGTGGTTTAGGAGAGGAGAGGTGGAAAATAAAAAATAAGTTAACAAATTTATTTTTATCAAATTTAACTTGATTTTTATTTTTTGCCTTGAAAAAAACTATTACATGATAATTTATTAAGTTTTTATTTTAAGAATATAAACTTATATTAATAAAAAAATTGAAGAACAAATACATTAATGTTATATTTTATTAGTGAGTCTAAAAAAAAATTAAAATTTTATACAAAAAATAATTATATATTAAATTTTGTAAGATGATAAAATTTATTTTATCATAAAAGAGAGAGATAGAAAAATAATACATAATCTTTTAATATCAAAGATAGTTTAAAGTTTTTAAAATAAATGTTTAAATTATTTTAAATTACTTTCCCTGTCCTCTCTCTTTATAAAAAAATCTCAAATTGAAAGGGAGAGGGGGGAGCTTTAATTTTGTAAATCAAACAAGGGCTCTCCTCTCCTTTCTTTATTAGGTACTCATCAAATAAGGCAAGAGGAGCAACTCTTCTCTCTTCCCATCCATTTCCCTCCAAAAATTTCAACTAAATACACTTTAAAAAAGACAGTTACAAATTGCTCAATAACAAAGTTTTAAATCAACAGTAAAATTTGAACATGTAATTTTTTGGCTCATTTTATATGGAGAGTTGATATATTTAAATACATTATTATAAATATCTTCTTAAATTTTAAAAATATTTATATTGTTATATTTTTATTATTTTTAATCTGTAAAATATCTCAAAAAGTATTTAAAAATATTTTAATATTGACTTTTAAGAATTAAGGCCTACGATTAAGTTTTTTACGTTTTTTTAAATATCCCAAGGATGTATTTCATTTTTTAATAAAAATAATTAATTTTAAAGTGAAAATTAAAATTAAAAAAATCCTAAAATTATATAAATATGTGAACCTAATGAACTTATAGGTCAAGCTATTTGAGTGATAAAAGCCTCGATACTCACGCTAACTTCAGTTAATTTTAAAGAAATGTGTTAGATCCATGTATTTAAACAAGCAGATCTGGTGGGCTATCCTTTTTTTTTTCAAGGGGAAAAAAAAGAGACAGGTTAGGACGCATACCTTTGACAATGTAAGTCTCCTGATTTATTTGCCAATTTCCACTCTCATGTAGAGTGCAAACTATCCTCACCCTCTCATCAATATCAATATATATAATCATTATATTATTTTTTTAAGCTAGCAATTCGGGACACCCTGCATAAATCCAAAATTTTAGGATGGAGTTTAGTAAAATAATAATTTGTTAATGCTTGGCTGACAAAATTCGATCTTAATCCAAATACACCAACGGAGTATTACTTCAAAAAAATAAATAAATACATAATTCAGAATAAAGTTTAGTAACGTGGGAAAAAAAGCAACCTTTTCTCCAACTGAAGGTGGGACTATTTATATTTTATATAAAGGAGGGATTACTATTTACTTTCATACGCGATGATTGTTATTTTTTTTTTAAACCACGTATTCATGATAATAGTTAATTAATATAATATAAAATAGAAACCTTACTTCACTTGTTAGTTTATTTTTCAACTTATGAAAATAAAATTTTAAAATAATTTGATGCAATTCATCTTAATTATATATATATATATATATTTGTACATCACATGATAATGTTTATGTAAATATTTGTATATAGATATATGTTGTTATATATATAAATATAATATAAAAATATAAATAGATAACCCAGCAAGTTCATAAGTTAGGCTTTAAGTAAATAGATCAAAAGCCTGTTATCTTTATTAGATAGATAAAGCCGTGCCTTGCTTAGACCGGAACAGAGGCCCTTGATAAGCGATCTCGACTATTTCTACACATAGGCTCTAGTAAGAGTCTCGCTTTTTTCCACTCACGTGAATTATCACCGCCATTATCGTGAATATCAATGAAAACAATCGTTATCGCCCGCCTTGTGATTTTCATTTTACCCCTTTTCTCTCAAATTATAAAACATTTTTAAAAAATATTTAGTATTTCAAAATATAAAATATTTTAATAAAAATAAAATTCTATTAATAATACTTTTCAATATTATCTTTTTCATATATTATCTCTTTTTAATATTTTTATCAATATTAAATAAATAATATTTTTGAAAATTTATACTTTTGTTTTAAAAAATAAGATTGTAGAGTATATATAACGAGTTTTATTTGTATATAAAATTTTATTTAAAATTATCTTATAATTTAAGAGGGAGGAGTTTTTTTTTAATCTGTCTGTATTCATTCCATTGAGTTTTACAAGGTTTTTTTTTTAAAAAAAAAAAGGAAGGAATATTACTCCTTCTGCTTGTGATTTTAAGATACTGCTATCTATTTTAATTTAAACAAAAAAGAAAACTTGCGCAAGAACACATTGTCAAGAGCTTCAGCTCCATAACTTCATTCGATTTGATTCAACTCCATAGTTTCAAGTGTCAACCCAACTGACGAGAGGGACCTTGAGAGCAATGGCGAGAGGGACCTGCGTTTGTGCGAGGTGAGAGACGACAGGGACAAGGCGGCGTTGGCAGGTGACTCTGCGGGAGCCAGCGTCAAGCAAGAGGGCAGGGGCGAGCACATGACAGTTGAAGGTGAGAGAAGCGGCGTGGGAGGAATTAACACGCTTCCATGCTCTAGTTGTTCCTTTTCTAACGTTATAATCACAGTTAAAATTATATATACACACACACATATATATAAAATAGTTTAAAATAGATAAAATTATCATAATCAATGATTCATGATGGATAGCCAACTTTAAAATAACATATCTAATTTGAATTTTAATTTATAAAATAGATACATTTTATAAAATATCCCCCCTTTTTTTAAGTTGCTTGAATAAATGAAATTAGTAATGCCACTGAGTGCTTTAATCTCAGTTGGCTGAGGGTTAATCCAAGGGAGAGAATAGCAAAAAGGTCCCCAGTTAATTTAAATCTTAAGTATCAAATATTAAGAATTTGTAAGTTTGATTCTTAATTTATAACTTTGTTATGATATAGTTGCAGCTTGTATTTAAAATTTTAACAAACCATATTAAAACTTGGAAGGCAAGTTGTAAATCCATCACAATAAAATTATAAAATTGAGATAAGAATTTACAAATTTTTAAAGTTTAATATTTGAAACCTAATTTAAATTAATTGATCAATTTAAAACCTCTCTGTTATTCTCTTTTAATCTAATTTAACCATGACTCTCAAATTCAAGTCGAAGATTTGCAGAAACAATTAAATTCATTTAATTAAATTTTATATTATTTTAAAAACACCAAAATATTTATTATTTAATGATGATTATCAATGTTATAAAATATTTTGTTTAAAGTGCAATTCTGGTCATCTAACATTATATAGATTTTCATTTTTTATAAAGTGCCCCTTCATTTTTTAACTAACACAATTAGTTTTATTAATAAAAAATTTTACATTATATTTTAAATATTGACTAAAGATTCTCAAATTATGACATGTTAAATTTAATTTTTTAAGACTAAAATATATAAAAATTTCTAAATTTTCAAACAGTTGCATATAACGTTCCTTATTTTAAAAATTTAAAATTAACCCTCCAACCTTTGCTTTTTTTTTCAAAATTTTCTATTATTAATTATGCTATTTTTTCATCAGGGTTAAAATGTCATTCAACTAAAAAATATTATTAAATAAAAATATTATATTGTATAATTATTTATAATAAATGTCTTATATTTTTTAGATAGTTGAGGTATTAATAACAAAAAAATGTTATTATCATTGTCTAAAATTTTAAATATTTATGTTTATATTTATTTTATCCATATTTTTTGCCATCGATGATGCGTGATTTTATTATTTTAAAAGATAAATTTTTATTTATGTTTTCATATTAGATTAATGTAATGCACATGGTTAAAATATTTAAAATTTTAAATATTATTATGTTAGAATAATTTATCTTTTAATATTAAAAAATTATGCACCGTTGATAAAAAAATAGATAAAACTAACACAAAAATAAATATTTAAAATTTTACATGATGATAATAACATTTATTTTGAGTATTATCAATGCCTCAACTATTCAAAAAATATAAAAATTAATTAGCTATAGTTCTGCAGTATAATATCTTGTTTAATAATATTTTTTAGTTGAATAATATTTTAACCCTTATGAAAGAATAACAAAATTAATGATAGGAGGTTTTCAAAAATAAAATTAAAGGTTAGGGGAATTAATTTTAAACTTTAAAAAGTGAATAGGTTATATTGTTTCAAAGTTTATGGGGATTTCGTAAATTTTAATCTTTTTCTAAATAACAATAATTTATACAAAAAATTATTTAAAATTAATTATGTTATGATTAGATAGTTAAAAGTTAAAAGACCTTGTTGTCTTTAGGTGTTATCTGTTTGTATACCCCCTTTGGATGGAATGAAGTCTTTCAGTATTTATATTAAAAAAAAAAGTTAAAATACCAAAAGCCGAACATTTTTAGATGTTATCCCAATCTTATTTGATTATGAATTTTTTAATTATTTTATTTGAAATACAAAATTATTAATAATTATATATACAAATTTGGCTCTAGAAGTATTAATAACAACAATTGCATAATTCCTTATCAATAAAACGTGAGATATTTTTAATATTTTAAAATATAATTAATATATATATTTTTTTAAAATACCTTAACAAGTAAATTCAAGGGTGGAAAAGGGGGGGACTGGCAGAGGCCACGGCTCTCATAACTTTTTAATTTTTTCTTAATTAAATGTAGGGTTTATATATTTTTGGCTCCTGTAGATTGACACATTATAGAAGTTATGAAATATTAGATTAAATTCTTATTTTAATTTTATATGTAATCTTTTACATAAGTATAGAGCAATTATTTTAGTAGTTTGAAGATATAATTATCATAGAATTTATTCATTTTCAACAAGATAATGCTGTACATGCTTTTAAATTTTATATTTAATGAAATAAATTGTAAGAATTATTATTAACAAACTTTGTTAAGTATTGCAATAGATCCCGAGATATATTGAATGTTATATACTTGATATTCATTATAAAATCACTTATTTAAAAGTTAAGAGATTTGGTGAAGATGTCTTTTTTAAAAGTAATCAAGTTATTGAAATTTATGATATGAATGATTTTTACTCTTATATGATTTGATATCATTCACATAAAGATTTTATGATAGTCGAGCATTATTATTGTGTCAATATATTTGTTTACTGCAATTATTAGTTGGAAAAATTAAATAATAAATTTAATAAACAAGTAATATAACTTATTACATTAAATAGAACTTTAGATTCTAATGATGTATTTAAATTATTTAATGCTCATAAAGATGATAAAATTTTCATGAATTTAATGATAATTTATATTGAAAAAATTGATAAAACATTTATTGTAGACACAATAACTAATAATTTTTATACCATGAAAATCGATGAGTAAAACTTGTAACATCCTGATTTTTATATAATAAAAAAATTGTGAAATTTAGGTTTTGAGGATAACAAAAATGATAATAATAGGAATTTATATCATTTGAGGTTATTTAGAAATAATATTATGGTTAGGTATTTAATTATGAATTAAAAATTTAAATTTAAAATCACATAAGCAATATTTAGTTAAGATACAATATATAAATAATTTTTTTATGTGTGTGTTAAAAAAAAGAGAAGGTAGAAGGAACAAAAAAAAAGGGGGTGAAAGGTTATTGTTTTTAAATCCTACATTAGTTAGATGTGGAAAGATAAGAGGTGCCTTCATATATAAAAAGGAGGGGGTGTGTGTATTAGGAAGCATGAAGGGCTAAGATGCAATTTGGAGGAAATTATAACTTTTGGCCCAAGAGTTTGAATAATTAAATTCAAACCTATAGTTTTTTTAATATAATTGTGGGACCCACAATCTTATTTTTATATTATTTTTCTATCCTCCTCTCACTCGATGTGTTCTCGCAGGGAGGGATTATTTTCTTTTTCTTCAGGTATGCTCCAACTTTTCTGTTTAGATTAGCATTTAAAAATTTATTTAATTACAAAATTAATTTTATAGTTATTTTCTAAATAGTATTAGTTTTTTAGTGATATAATTATTTTGGAGAATAGAGCAAATATTTTAATTAAAATTTTTTATAGGATAGTTAATCTGATGATATGATGGATTAAAAAAATAGGTTGAAATTTTTAGGGATATAATAAATATTATAGAATATTTTCTTAAGGTTGAAACTCATGTTTAAGAACTTTTGAGTTAAACTCTAGATCTACATGGTTGAATTTATGTTGAATCTGAAATGTAGGGATGAACCTCTGATTATTAAATATTTATTTAAGTATGAATAGGTATTTTTGAGGTTATAGAAAGGTGATTTGAGGCTTTAGAATAATTTTAAAATTTTTATTTTATTTTTAGAAGAATTTTTAGAATATAGAAGGATGAAATTGTAATACTAGAAGTGATTTGAGACTTAAAAATAGTTTATTAGGGTACGAGAATTTTAGAAAAGAATTTGAAAAGTTAAATGAGGCATAAATCTTAAATTAGTGTTAATATGGATTATAGATCTAAGACTTTCTAACTCTTTAAATTAGAGTTATTTATTTTAATATAAAATTAATATATAGTATTATGAAATAACTATGTAGATTGTGTTGACAAAGATAGTGGTGAAAGAGGAGTTGTGAAGGAAAACTTGTTATTCAAGACACGAGGTAACCATTATTAATGTGTTGTGATGAGTGTGTTTGTGAATGGTTATGTGTTGTTTTGTTGTTTGGAAAAATTATGAATTATTAAAAATAAATACTATTATATACTTGTTTGAAATTATTGTCAAGTGGGTCAAAAATTTATTTTTGTTTATCATGATAAGATATTATTGTTCGGATATATTCCTGTTTGAACATTTGAATGATGCATGACTTGTCAGGATATTTTAATACATGGTGTTAGTGGAAATTTTTGTTCGGTTAGTTATTACCATGTGGTAAGTCCTCATTGGATTTAATGAGTGACGTGTCGCTTGGTTCAACTCACCTTTGGCCGGGTAATTTGGCATCCGAGCATGGCCAAAGGAGGATATAAGGTGCAGTCATGCAATTAAATACTTGTTCGGTTTATTTGAAAATATTGTTCGGTTAAATGTTTCGCGTACCCACTTAGCAATCGCATGATTAGTTACATCCGCATGCATCATTACATACTAATTTTTGGTTATTGAGACTTTTAAATCTCATTCCCCTTGGTTAACATTTTTATAGGAGCGAGTTCGGCTGAGAAAGCACCAGAGGCATAACTTTGGTGTATGAGACACCATCTTTTATGTTGCCTCTCATTTTGTATTATGCAATGTATTTTGTGCCAACTTAGGACATATCTTATTTTGACAACATGTAAACTCTAATTCTTTTTATTAAATGCATTTATATGACCAAGAGAATTATGTTTGTCCCTCTTGATTCATGACCTGATTTGAATATCATGCCATGAGGATCCTATCTGTCCCTCATGGTTCTAATTATTTTTTGAGATATTTTAAGACCTGTGGTATATTGTCTTGGATGTATCATGGTAGAAATTTTTCTACCATAATAAGGGTTCAATGAAAAAAAAATAATTTGTTGAATTAATAATTTGTAAAAAATTGATTTGTAAATTTAAAGATATTACAAAACTTAATATATATTATTATTATTATACACATGTAAAATTAAATATAAATATATTTGTTGAAATATTTATATTATGTCGAATATATATATATATTCATAATAATGTAACAGGAAATATGAGAAAGAAAGCTGTTAATATTTTAATAAAATTTATGAATCATTTATTTTTGAACAAGAACAATTTGATAATTTATAAAAATTTATTAATGACAGTAAAGTCTGTAAGAACTTAAGTGAAATTATGATATTTTGAGAAATCAAATCATTATTTATATATTTTAGAGAGATTTTATTATATTTTTCCTTAAATAATTTCCATCTTATTAAAATGACTTTTGAAAAAAATTATATCTCAACATAAATTGATTTTTCACAAATAATTTTTTACAAACTAAAAACTTAACACGCTCTCAAATCGGCGAGAAAGCACGTTGCGTGTTCCCTGAGAACCAATATATTGCAGATCTGAAGAAAAGATTACTCAGTGTAACATTTTAACCCCGAGAGGATTCCTTTCCTAGAGCTACAATCACGAGACGAGAGTCCAAATGCATCAGGAGAAGGCACGGTCACATGCCCACTTTCACCACACACTATAATTGTATACGATCCTTCGCGTCATTGTTTAATCCCTTTTTAAAAAATTTGGATTCCACAGCTGTATTTTATTTAAATAACTGAAATTTAAATCAATAACTTTAAATTTATACTTCACTTAAAATTAATAAATAAAGAAATGAAGAGATTTATTTAAAATATTGATATGAATTTTAATTATTTAAATGGTATGCGCCCTGCCTACAAACATGCTGATTTGATAATATACTATTTCGAATCCCCCCGCCCCCGGTTCATGCCCATTCCATCCTTTTCATTTCTTTGTTGATGGGTCCTGCCTGGCAGGCCTTCAACGCAAGGCGGGGAGGAGCGTGAATGTGGTGGTTGGGTTGGGTCGAGGTGAGTGCACAGCACATGCTTGATCCATGGCTTCAGTAAAAAAGAAAAAGGATAAGCATGTTGGAAAGAATATGACAAAATAATCCATCCCAGGGTTCACGAGTCACTTCATTGTTTCTCTCCCATTCTTGCTACATAAAAAAAAAATTTTTAAAATATATAAATAAATTTTGCAAATCATTTATTTTTAACAACAATACAATATCAAATAAAAAATTTAATATATAAAATTATAATTTATTGTTATATTATTACGGATAAAAAAAATTATAAATATTTAAATAAAATTTATAAATTATTTATTTTTAATAAAAATAATTTAATAATTTATATAAATTTATTAATAATAAAAAATTTTTAAAAATTTATGAAAAGTTGTGATTTTTAAAAAAATCAAATTATTATTTACTTTTATTGTATTGTCAATTTTTTTAAAATAATATCAAGAAAAAGTTATCCCCATTGCCACCACCGAGCCAAATTACCAAACCATCCCAAAAAGCTGGTCATTTTCTTTCTCTTGTTGCTCTAAATAGCTGGTTAATGATTGTTATTGCCCGGAAAGTTGAGGATCTTTATCCCTTGTCCGTATGCCGTAAGAGTAATGAGGCCCCTGGCTTAAATAAACAAGCTCCTCAGTTATGTAGTGGTAAGTGCCTGGTCTTGGCTAAAAAAAAAAAAAGAAGAAAGAAAGAAAAAGAGAGAGAGCTCTGTTTTGGCAAGCTTATGGCTTCAACAGCTGCTGCTTCTTGCTCTCTGCAAATCTTCTTCCTCCTCCTCTTCCGCCTCCTGGAATTGGCCTGTTCATTGGAATGGGGAGGCGCTGAGGAGGTAAGCATGGTGAAAGTGGGAGACTTCTCGAAGGTGGAAGATGCTGTGAACTTTCATTTATACTATGGCCAGACCTTCAAAGTCATAAAGAATGCTCTTGATGCCCACAGCTACCTTCTTCTCCAGGTATCCTCCCTATCCTCTTCTCTGCCCCGTTTTCTTTCTGTAATCAACAATGGAGGCACGAGGCAATGGCGGTGGGGTTTAGTACTGACTTCTAGGCTACTAGGCTCCTATTTGGGAAATAATTGGAGGACAAAATTTATTCTGCATTATTTTTTTTGCATCTTAAAATTTCAGAATGATAGATCCTGATTGAGAAGCCATTGGAAATTACTTGCTTTCTTTTGTTCTCGAATTCCTTTGAAAAGATAGTATATAGGACACTGGAAGATATTTCTGTTTAGTTTTTGGTTCTTTTTGGTTATAATGAAGAGGAGAATATGGCAATTTGAGTGGAATTAAGTGCACTTTGTAACACAGATCAAATCAGATTGTAGGAACATAATTGGCAATGTGGATAATAATACTTTTTACTATTTATATAATGCGCGAAAGATATTTCGCTGTTCTTCGCTGGCAACCCCAAAACAAAGATTGCCTACTTCCGGGAAACTTATGCTAGATGTCCAATACTTTTCCTTCTTATATTGATAATTATATTGAGAAAATTTCTCGTTGGCAGAATAATACAAGGATTGCATCAAGGACCAAATATTGCACATCAAGAATCAAATCATTTGTGATTCCATTGTCAAACTATTCAGTTGATACCGATTCATTTCCAGGCAATCCCTTCTATGCAAATCCCTGCCTCTATGCATTCTCTACTTTTTTGCTTGACTTTAGTTTGCTACCGCATAACATCAGAAGCAATTTTATTTTTCTCTAGAAAAACTAATGCATTAACGCTTTCCTTTTTTTTCTTTTGCCTCCTTGGGGTGAAACTCCAGTTTCCTTCTTAGAGGTAAGATTACCTAGCCTTTTCAGCCTTCTTGGAGTTTAATTGTCAAGATGGAAGTGTCTTACTAGCATAAATGATTGGCCTTCTTATTTTTCCCTCCTTTCATGTCATGGATAGCTTCTAGGCTTGCTAGGGAGCTTGAAAGGCATAACATCAGACTTGGTGGCTTCTCAATGCGTTCTAAAATTATACCAAGATGGTCAAATAGAAATGTTCAACAAGACTGACGAAGAAAAGCTTGCACAGTTTGCAGCTCATTTCTCTGGTGATGCTGATCATCTACCAGCATGCAATTTTGCCACATTTGTCCCTTTTTCAGAAGACACTCCTTTGCAGGCAAGTAAAAATTCGACATTACTCTGTAAAGACCCCAAGAACTATGGCATCCACATTAAGTGCTTACATTTTACTATTGATATTGTTAAATATTAACCTATCAACTTATCACGGTAGTATATTGTCTGTGCTTGGAATTATTAACTATTTGGTACATGCACTTTTTTAGAGAGCAGAATGGATCAAATTCATGGGAGCATATGCAAATGAAGAAGCTAGAGCCAATCAAGTGTATTCTAAGGTAAGCACTCCACTCAGTCCGAGGCTTAACTAAGTTTAAAATATGGGGAGGTTCTTGTTTCTTTATGAAAATTATTTTCATCTTTGTAATTCTGTAGTCGTGAAGCTTTTTCTGTTTCTTGGTCCAATGGAAGACGGGCAACTCATACTCTGCTAGACTGTATAAAATTAAAACAGAAGGATTTCCAAGTTTTTCTATAGTTGAATGTTTTTTGGGTTTCAGTTTTAAATTGCACTTGCAAATTTCTCTATCATTTTTACATAGTTAGTCATGCAAAAGTTTTTGTAACTGATTGAATTTTCTGATAACTTCTAAAAACCAATGATTTGTTATTGTACAGATTAAGGAGAACTATTTGTGCTTGGCTAACATCACAAACAATCGAACATCCTTTAAACCAATAGTAGCATGGATGAAGTATTCTGATGTATGTATCCCCAGAAGCTCTGACTCTTATTTCAAATATTATTTATCTCCTAATCATTCCCAGATTCTGTTTTTTTTTTTTTTTAAATTCAGGACTTATGTATATTCTTTTTTCAGGGCGTTTGGGCTTTTTCAAAGAACGCGTATAAGTTGAAGGTATGAAGAGAACTGTAGATAATTAGCACAGCAATTAGAAAATGAGATGATGTTTCTGAACAGGGACAAAACATTGTTATTATGCATCACATAAACTCTTCCCTTATTTTGCACACTAACATTGCATGCAGTATGTGGAAGATGCTGGTGGAGAAAAGCTTGATGCAAACAAGAACTCTTATAATGTCTCTGATCCTGATGATCTGGACGAACTGCATGCCATCTTATGTGTAAGTTACTGCAGTTAAGTTAAAAGATATGATAGAACCTCTAATCAAATTTTCTTGTCTACTTAGTTGAATCTAAAGTTCTACATAATAAGGCATGGATAAATATCATATCCTCTAATGCCTGGTCCCTTTTTTAATATCTAAGAAAGAAAATTGATCTTTTGGACGTCCCACAATTATGAATTTTGACCTTGAGATTCTTATATCATATTCATTTTGTGCTCCGCTTGCTAATGTTTTCATTTCAACAGCCTACCAACCATTTATCCATGCATTCTTATGATTACATTGTGTTCATTTGCTCCTTCTGGAGAATTAATTCTCATAAATACATATTCATTAAAAAGCAAGTTTAGTTCATATCTGTATTCAATTTTTTCTATTCAATTTGCCTGTTATTTAAGTTTCTCAACAATTTATATAATCTTATTTCTTGATGCAGACTGTGGAAGTGGTGATTGATGAAACATTAACTTTTGATCCATTCAACTATACAGTATCAACATTTCTCCAAAATTTGAAAGTTGAAGATCATTCTTGTTTCTCCTTTCTCACAAATACAAGCTTATGGAGACATGACAAAAGGATTCAAAATAATGCAACTCTGGGTAAGTTGTTCTGGTTTCTCGCCTTTGTCAAATATAATCCATTGCAGTCATAACTCGTAAGTTTTCCATGAAAATTGTTTATTCATTTCAAGTACATAACTACATAAGTTAATTTAAAGGGTCATAAATTTGATTTTTTTTTTCCCTCGTTTGTGTAATGAAAGGAGAAATCTAATTGATAATTGCAAATTGCGTGTGATCTTCTACATGCGAAGACTGGTTCAATGGAGGAGTCTCTCAACCTCAATTGGTACTAGCCGATCTTATTGAAGTTTTATTTCCCACTGGAAATTACAGCACAACATACTTCAGGAATCTCGCAAAGGTAAATTTTTGTATTATTCATTCAAATTTTAATAAGCTGTGAAATGGGAATTTCTTTTTCCCTTTCCTTTTATTTTCTAAACCTCAATTTTTGACATCATCTTACAGGGAGAAGGACCTTCAGATATTGGTTCTGAAACGTGTGAGAGGGACGCTTCCATTGCATTGGAACCTACAATAGTAGCCTGCGGATGATTGTGTTTCTGCTTCAAAGATAGGTCTTTTTGGTTAATACTATTCTTTTTAAATTTGATTTTCAAAATATAGGATATATACATTTTTTTCGTTATTGTTATGTTTTTTGCACTTATCACAGCATATACCTAAAGGCTAGAATGTAACATCGTTTTCCTCAATCAGATGACAATAGTGAACTATTTTCTATCCTCCAGTTTAAAACTCAAATGTTTTTCATGGCAACCATTATTGTTATTTATTCAGAATGATTAAAATGTTAAACGTCCAGAGATCTAACCTTATTATATATAAACGATCAGATTTTATAGTTTCACGTATTTTTTATCTTCCATGGCCACTTTTTCCCCTTCAATACGAATTTCCAGCAGTTCAACTGTTACTTAAATCCTGAGAACCTTCTTCATTTATTATCACCCCCCACCCAAAAAAAAAAAAAACAAAGATATGATAAAAAGTCTTATTTAGAAGAAAGAATTTCATTTAAGAATCACGAATATAACTTAGTCATATGTTAGACCTAATAAAATCTGAAACTACACTGCAAGATCAAAAGATTAATTGAATTTTTTTTTATAAAAAATGGCACAGAAACCGAATGAAAAGAGAAAAAACTTTGAATTTTATTTCTCGTCTGCCTCCTTACAACAAAGTGAGTGTCCTATTTATAATGTTAGGACTCTGAACGAAAACAGTAATCAGCTAACGTTACAAATGTAAATGCTAAACGTTTTATTGGCTTAATGAAGGGTAACGGTGGCTTAATGAAGGGTAACGGAACACGTTTGGCTTCAATTTTGTAACTCTCGTGTATTAGTTCTGTTGTCCGTTTCAGTCCGTTTCATCCTTCCCGGGTTCAGCAGAACTCGCCCTCGAGTCAAATTCGGCATTATCGTCAATGTAAGGGGATAGATCAGCAACATTGAAGGTGGTAGATACACCATAAGAACCAGGTAATTCCACTTTGTAAGCGTTGTTGTTGATCCTTTGCACTATCTTGAACGGACCATCAGCTCTTGGGGACAACTTGGCGTTTGGTTGTTTAGGAAATCGTTCCTTTCGTAGATGTATCCAAACCAAGTCTCCTACCTTAAAAGTCTGCTGTCTTCGATGTTTGTCACGTTGAGCCTTGTATCTCAAATTCTGCTTTTGGAATTCGCTCGCGAACTTGCTCATGCAACTTCTTAATTTCCTTAGCCCTTTGGTCAGCATCAGAGCTATATTGCTGCTTATCAAGTGAAGGGGTCAAGTCTAGTGGACTAAGGGGACGAGTGCCATAAACAACTTCAAACGGACACTTCCCAGTTGCTTGGTTGACAGAGTTATTATAAGCAAACTCAACTTGAGCAAGAATAAGATCCTACTGCTTCAAATTCTTCCCTACGAAACTGCGAAGAAGATTACCAAGAATCCTATTTATAGCTTCAGTTTGACCATCTGTCTGGGGGTGACTAGCGCTGCTAAACTGTAGCTTAGTTCCCATCTTCTTCCATAATGTCCGCCAAAAGTGGCTAAGAAACTTCACATCACGGTCAGAAGTGATAGTTCTAGGAATGCCATGAAGACGCACAATCTCCTTAAAATACAAGTCGGCTACTTGAATAGCATCGTTGGTCTTCTGGCATGGGATGAAATGGGCCATTTTTGAGAAGCGATCCACAACTACCATGACAGAATCTTTTTGCCTCTGAGTCCGTGGTAAACCCAGAACAAAATCCATAGTTATATCTTCCTAAGGTGCTTCTGGAATTGGCAGAGGCATGTATAGTCCAGTATTCTGACCCTTGGATTTAGCCAAGTGACAAATTCTGCATCTCTGTATATGCCTGTTGACATCCCGTTCAAGTCGAGGCCAGTAAAAGTTCTCATTCACTAGGTTAATTGTCTTATCTCGTCCAAAATGTCCAGCTAATCCACCATCATGTGCTTCCCAAATTATGGCTTCTCTCAAGGAACCCTGTGGAATACAGAGGGTTTTACCTCGAAATAAAAACCCGTCGTGTCTATAGAACTGGTGGAAAGGTTGATTTATAGTTGCTTCCCACACTCCTCGGAAATCAGGATCATCTTGATATAACTCTTTGACAAGGTCAAATCCAACAACCTTGGTTTGTAGTGTTGTAAGTAGTACATGGCGATGACTAAGGGCATCTGCTACGGAGTTCAGAGTTCCAGCCTTATGTTTGATAAGGAATGGATAAGACTGTAAGAGTTCACTCCAACGAGCATGTCTGCGGCTGATCTTCTGCTGGGAATTCAAATACTTGAGAGCCTCATGGTCCGAAAAAAGTATGAACTCTTTATTTAGGAGATAATGACTCCAATATTGAAGAGCTCGGACAATTGCATAGAATTCCTTGTCATAGGTAGAATATTTGAGCTTGGCATCATTGAGCTTCTCACTAAAAAAGGAATGGGATAGCCCTCCTGGCTTAAGACAGCACCAATGCCAGTGTTAGAAGCATCACAGCTAACTTCAAATACTTGATCAAAATTAGGAAGAGCTAGGACTGGAGCTTTGGTCAACTTCTTCTTAAGCTCCTCAAAGCTTTTCTGAGCTTGCTCTGTCCACTGAAACTTCTCTCCTTTGGTGCAGTCTGTAAGTGGTGCGGCAATTGAGCTAAAATTATGGATGAACCTCCTGTAGAAAGAAGCTAATCCGTGGAAGCTTCGAACCTCCTGGATGGATTTTGGAATTGGCCAGCTGTCAATGGCTACAACTTTGCTTGGATCAACGCGAACACCTTCCGCGGTAATGATGTAACCCAAGAACACAACTTCGTTGGTGAGGAAGGTGCACTTCTTGAGATTTGCATAAAGCTTCTGCTCACGCAAGGCTTGCAAAACTTGCCGCAAGTGATCTAAATGCTCCTCTTGATTCTTACTGTAAATAAGAATATCGTCAAAGTACACAACAACAAATTTACCAATGAAGGGTCTCAATACCTGATTCATCAGGCGCATAAATGTGCTAGGAGCATTTGTTAACCCAAAAGGCATCACATTCCACTCATATAAGCCATCTCTGGTCTTGAAAGCAGTCTTCCACTCATCTCCTGGTCGAATTCTGATTTGATGGTACCCACTACGAAGATCAATTTTGGAGAAAGTAGTGGCACCATGCAACTGGTCCAGCATATCATCAAGCCGAGGTATCGGAAACCGATACTTAATAGTGATCTTGTTGACGGCTCGGCAGTCAATGCACATTCTCCAACTCCCATCCTTCTTAGGTACTAGAAGAACAGGTACAGCACAAGGGCTGATACTTTCTCGAACTAACCCTTTCTTCAACAACTCTTCAACTTGTCGTTGGACTTCGGCATGTTCCTGGGGACTCATCCTATAAGCAGGCTTATTAGGAATGACTGCTCCTGGAACGAAGTCAATGGCATGCTGTATGTCTCGCATTGGAGGCAACCCTGGTGGTATCTCACCGGATATTACATCTGAAAATTCTGACAATAACGGAATGACTCCAGGTGGATTGACCGTCTCATCGTTCACCTCAAGCACCAGAATAATGCTCATCATTTGGGCTTCGGATTTTGACACCTTGAATTCCTCCTTAGTCAATAAAGACACTAACGGCTTAGATACACTAGATTCCCTTGAAGATTGGCTAATCTCATTGGGTGGTAGAGGCGCTAGTGTAAACTTGACACCATCTTTCGTAAAAGAATAAGTGTTTGCTCGCCCGTTATGCATAGCATGTCGGTCATATTGCCATGGCCTCCCCAAGAGAAGGTGGCATGCATCCATGGGAACAACATCACATAAAACTTCATCACAATATCGATTCCCAATAGAAAAGGTCAGGCATTGTTTAGAAACTTTTACCTCATTCCCTTTGTTGAGCCAGTGAAGCTTGTAAGGTTGTGGATGATCTTGTGTTGGCAACTTCAATTTCTCCACCATGTAGTTAGATACTACATTTTCACAGCTTCCACTGTCAATGATGACATTACAAACTTTTCCTTGGGCCGTGCAACGAGTGTGAAAAATGTTGCGTCGTAACCAAGGTTCTTCTTTGACTACTGTTGTATGCAGACTTCGTCTAAGCACCAATGCTTCTCCTTGATCAGCAGGTGTGACCTCCTCGTCATATACGGGATCAGTGCCGTAGAACTCATCGTCCTCCTCACCTTCTTCAAGTGCTTCATACCCTGATCCTTCTCGAATGGTGACAACCCTTCGTGTAGGACAGTCCGCAGCAATATGGCCAAATCCTTGGCATTTAAAGCATTTGATTGCTTTGGAACCAGATTCCTTGGCAGCATTGGATGGTGGTTTGCGCATAGCAGTAGGTTGTGGCTTGCTTGAGGAGTTAGTCTGCTGAAATTCTGCTTTACGGCCTTCTGGATAACTCCTAGAGGATGAAGGTTGGAAAGCGGATCTCTTAGGCATCTGCTTCTCAACACGCACGGCCAGACGGATGACATCATCCAAGGTCCAATATTGTTGAAGCTGGACTGGACGACTGATATCTGTGTTTAAGCCTGCAAGGTATCGGGCTATTGTTTGCTCCTCCTTCTCCTGAATATCACACTTCATCATGAGTTGTTCAAACTCTCTAGTATATTCTTCTACAGATAAAGATCTCTGTCGAAGATTTTGCAACTGGATAAAATTATCCTGGTGGTAATGATCTGGTAAAAATTTCCTGGTGAGCTGGCGTTTCATTTTCTCCCAGGTTTCAATCTTGCGCTTTCCCTCACGTTCTCGCTTCCGTCTGAGGTTTTCCCACCAAATAGAAGCATGTTTCTTAAGTTTGAGGGCGACAATTTTGACTTTCTGCGCATCTGGAATCTCCTTGTATTCAAATACTCGTTCAACAGTTTGTAGCCAATCTACAAACTCATCTGGCTGGAGCCTTCCCTCGAATTCAGGAACGTCAACCTTGATGTCATTAGGGCGGAATTGTTGTTGTCGTGGACGGCGGCGGTTTTCAGTAGATGACGAACTACTGCTTCCCGAATCTCTCTCTAAGTTTTCTCTGTTGTTGTTTAACAGAGTTTGCTGCAATTCCACAGTGGCTTCCAATTCTCGTATCCTACGTCTCAACTCTTCCATCTCAACCTCGTGCACATGTCTACGTCTTGGAGGCATTTTGAATAAGTGTCAAGGCTAGGGATAAAGATTGGGGTGCGATTGGAAACGTTGAAGGATATAGGGGTAAAGTGAATTTTTTTTTTC